ATCTCCGAGGTGGAGCGCCGATTGGAAGACCCTTTAAGCATGGAATTCTTCTGAGCTGTGTACTCCGACTCTGGCTTCATGCACGAGGAACCACAATCCACCAGCACAATGGAAGAGTTGCAACATAAAACCTCGCAGATCTCCGGTGAACTTCCATGAAAAAGAAAAGAGCACCCGCATTTGCTGCTCCATTGTAAACAACAAGCGCTTCCAACACTTTCCATGTGCTTCAGTTCCTGGAGAAAAAAACATTAATACCTCCAGTAGTATTAGACTCTCTTTTAAAAAAAATGCGACTGGCAGAAATCACTTCTTAAGCAAATGGAAGAAAGGGGAAAAAGGGTTCAACTGGGCAACCGGGACCCGCAAACCTGTAGGTGGGGTTGCTCTAATTCACTCGGAATGTCGTAATTGGGGTATGGTGCAAGGGCAATGTAAACCAATAAAAACCGTGTGGTACGTCCAGGAAGATTGAAACATATACCCAGCCCCTTTTGGATTCCAGAGCAAATGAAGCAAGTTAGCTTGTTTCACCTAAACCAAAACTTGTGGGTACAATGATAAACTTGGCTTTTGTCCTGGGGACCGATGATCAAGGTCCACTTTGCTTGCAAAGTCGGACTTGGGAATGTGCTAGAAAGCACCTCTTAGTTGTCAGTTCTTCCACAACTGTTGCAATTAACAAAAGCAGGCAGCACAAATTCCCGGCGGTTTGACACGTTTAGCCAGCAGTGCCAAATTCGCAGAGCGCCGCTAACAACAAAACCCAGAACTGAAGGTCAAGCCAAAACGCAGCCACAGTTCCGAGCACGCCAAAAGGGAAGCAAGGTTCTAAAATGGACATCCTGTTGAAGTCAAAAGGATCTCCCAGGTGGAAGGCATCCAGCGGTGCCAAGGAAGCGAGTGGGAACAAGAAGAAATCACCACCAGTGAGCTCCCACGGGGTGACTGCCGAGACCTGAACTCAAGGGTTTGAGACCTGTATCTCCAAATGCGGTCTTGCCCCCAAAAGCCAGAAACTAAAAGCTCTTCAACAAAAAGTCGTGATCGTGGCGGACTTGTTGGTCAAATAGATGTTATTCTCTGGCAAATGGTTCACAAAGCCAGTCTAAACCAGCCATCTACTTCTAAGCAAACCAACCGACCAAAATAATTCGATCTCCAGCCACGCCCCAGGCCCCAAATTGCCCCAAGTGGCTTGCAAGGCCCACTTAGGTTTCTCCAAATAGGGGGCCCGAAGAAAGGCTGTGATTCCCTAGTGGCTTCCCGAGCTCTAAAACCCAAAGCAACATCCGAAATCCATTTTGAGAAACTCAACAAAATGGGGCAAGTTGGGAGGGTAGGGTTGCGATCCCAATTGAGAGCCCCAAGCCGACTCTTCGAGCCGTATACTTGGGAAGATTGAAAGCTCATGCTGATCCCTGGCAAACTTGATAGTGCGATGGCTAGAAAATGACCAAGACCGGATTTTTGGAATAAGCCGGAAGGGGATTTCTAGGAAACCAGAGGGGATGGATTTTCTCGGGGTCATTCCAACACATGCCCTGCTGAGAATCAGCAAGCAAGCAAGGAGAAACATCCCTCAGCGGAAAAACAAAACAAAAAACAAATCAAAAAAACACGGGCTTTCGGGTCGGGTCTTGATGCAAGGGTGCTAACAAATCAAAGAGCTCCTTTTCCTTTTCTGCCTCTTTGGTTGTTTGCTTAAGTGGTTTTGCATCCTTTTCAACGGGCGAACCCCTCAAAAAGCAGGTTCCTGTACACAATCTGCTTGTGCATTCTTTCGGGGGCAAGCCATCCGTACCGATTTCTCTTGCGCCGAACGATCATTTTTTTGTTTTTTGCCAGGGAGCGCTCCAAACCAACGTCCCGGCTTCGTGACAGTGGAACACAGCTTGCCACTCCCAGTCCTGCATGGCAAATGGAGCAGCCCCTAGGTACTCTTAACATGGGCGCCTCTTTTTTGGGAGGGTACCAGTCTTGTGTGTTTTGTTTGGCTTTTTAAACAGGAAACCAGTCAGAAAACGGGGGTCCCCGTATTTTGACACATGTACCCAAATGGTGAAACGGATCAACCCCCCAGAGCAATGATTGGCTGAAAGGCAAACAAAGGCACGCCAAAAAGTCGCAAGTCGCACAGGCAAGCGGTTGTTTGAAGGGAAACACCACCCAAACAGTTCGGAGAAGCGGTCGCTTTGACGGGCATTGCCGAGGCAACAGCAGGATCCATCAACCGGGATCAGAGGGAGAACCGAATTGTGAATCCTATGGGACGCCTACAAGTGAACCTAAAGATCATTGATCCGTGCCCCTGAACAGCTCGAACAGTCTGCTTGCGCTCTGACCTTGTTTGAGGGAAAGGAAATCCCCCCCACAAAAAACAAGGGATCTTCAAAGGCTCTTGTACTTCCCAAAAAGGGATTAGCAAACAGTTCTCCCATCCCGAGTATTTTGTTGGTTTGGTACTTGGCACCCCATAACCCCAGGAAATCCTGGGAACCTACTTAAGCCTTTGGGGGGTGGGTTTCCACCCCCTATGGCTTCGCCTTAATAAGCCGTGGGGTCCTGGACCGCTCAAGTGAACCCAGAAAAACCTCACACTGCTCCCAAAGTGTTAGACCCCAGCCCAAGTGAGCCGTGCCAAATACTCTTGTGTAAAAAGCGGCCCTATAAACTTGCTTTCGCGGACCCTTTCGCGATGCTTTCGCGGCCCCATGTTTTGCTTTCGCGGGCTTTGGTTTCTTTAGAATTGCTTTCGCGACGCTTCCGCGGCGGACCGTCACACAGCATGCAGGCTTTCGCGGGTCTTTCGCGGCGGGACCTTCTTTGGTTACTTTCGCGATAAGCTTTCGCAAGCTTTCGCGGCCTGCGTTTTGGCTTTCGCGGGGATTCTATAGGACACCCCCCTTTACTACTTTGTATTGTCAGGGTTTTTGGCGCTGCTCAAGTGGCTTTCCGGGGCAAAAGAGTCACCGAAATGGATGAGGCCAATCACACAGAAAAAGGACAAAAGAGCACCAATCAAGTTTTGGAATAAACTTCAAAGGAGCAAACCCCCAAGGACAAAGCGTGACTACTAAAGGTCCGGGAAGTGGTATGGGCGTGTTTCCTTTTTTGAGGAACCCCACCCCTTTTTGCTTGGTGTTAAAGGAACTCTAACAGGAACACGCTCCTTTTTGTTGGGGGGGAAGGGGTCCCTACAACAAACGACACACACACACACCCACACACACCGAAGCCGCTTTTCGCCCCTTCTTTTCCCTGCCTCGGCCCAGGGGCAGGAAGAAGCTTCCGCCAAGCCCAGCAGGGCGAGGAGAGCGAGGCGCAACATCGTCCAAAGGAGCGACGGGATTTCGAGCCAAAGAGCCGCTGAAATCGAGCCCTGATGTCATAAAGACTCCCGCACTGACCGGGTCCCAGACGAAACCCAAGAAGTATGACAGCCAGGGTACATCACAGTCAGTGCTTGTCCAAAGTTGGTGTTGACTCGCGAGCTTTAGCGATTCCGGCCCTGGCGTCTGGACCTCAGAAGCTCGCTTTGTCGATCCTGCTGTCACGCTGAACTCGCGGGTGCAAGGTCCTGGTGTTGCTCCGAATCTCAAAGCAAGGACCAAGCCACAAGTGTCCAAAATTGCAAAACTCACTCAAAGATGAGTTCATGGACTGTAGTCACTTTTTGGGTTTGGACCATAGTGGTAAGCAGAAAGTTTGGATACTTTTTTGGTCAGTCCATTCAGGGTTTGTGATTCTATGTTTGTGAAAGGGTCTGTGGAGCGCCAATCAAGGGACTTGGCGCAATGCCCTGACAAAACGACTCAGTTGCTGCTCAACGCGAATCGACCGGAACTGACCTTTCGGTCTAACCAGCTTGAAGCAACCAGTTTTTTTGGCCCCAAACGGTGATCACGTAAATTCTTGCTGGGAATGACCTCGCTGGGTGTTGGGAATGAACCTTCAGTCATTCCCTATCGCAGCAAGTTTACATGTCTCCCTTGGTCCAATTGGCAGCAGTTTGAGGGTCCCAACTCGGGGGCCAGATGAAACTCCAAGCACACACGCACGCAAGCCCAGTTTGGGCCTAGATAACTTGCTGGTGCGATAGGCAGGGAATGAGAAATGGAAGGACCCCTTTTCAATCATCAAACTTGTGGTTTCCTAGGGACTTCTGGAACTCCTGGTGTTGGCAATGAACTGGAAGGGGATTTGCTAGGACACAAGGTCATTCCGCTCATTCCCTGCAAGAACAAGCCAAGCTCTTTCGCTCAGCATCCTTACTAGGACCCCTGGTAGTCCCCCTTTCCCCGTTTCTTTTTTGGTTTGGGGGGTTGCCCTACTAAAATACACAACAAGTCGGTACCAACCTATTCTAACCTTTCTACTGGAGGACCTAGTAGTGTTGTAGTTCTGTTTAGCTGTTTGAGTGGTTGGGTTTCCACTGAACCCACTAAAATACAAACTTTCAGCAGGGGATGTGAGGACAGCCAGCATCTTTGGCTCAGCACAGGGATTTACTCTTCTCGGAATAAATAAAAACAATCATCTGGGATAGTGACACCAAGAATACAGCTCACCAGGCAATGAGAGTGGGACAATTAACAGGGCAAGGACAACCCGTAACTTACACTGGGTTGTGGGTGGGTATCCTCACCAATTTCTGGGACATGGCAGGCCCTGAAAGTTCAGCTTTAAGAGATATATTTTGTCGGGAGGCATTGTCTGACAAGATGTCGCAACCATGTTTTTCGATAAACGAACTGTAACTGCTTTGGCATGGCTCGTCTTCTTTTAGGATACCCCGCTAAAATGGCCGTAGTTCCTATTGGCTTCCCATTCCAAGCTCAAACATGCGGCACCCTCTAAAAAGGACAGACCCCACCCCCACTCTACGCACTTCCTGGATTGGCGAAAAAAGTCCGAACTGTTTGTTTGCCGCTCGGGAGGCTGAAGCGAAGGAACTCAGGCGATGTTAAAGCACCCATGGTTTACACCCTACGCTTGGTTCAGCGCATCACACCTGGCTGCGTGCAGGGGTCGAAACCAAGTGTCACAGGCGCCCCCACGAGGCGGGCATCCTTCATGGCGGCGCGAAACGCCTGTCAAGCCGTCGGCCACCGTGACAATGGTTGGCCCGTCAGCCCCCAGTCAAAATGATTTTCTTGCTTGCCCAAAGGACTTGGAAATAAAGCGTGATCACCTTTTGTGCTGAGCGAGATTGAAAGAATGAGCTTGACTCTGAAACGCATCACCACACTCTGTTAACATGACTCGCCAAAAAAGGCCAGCCTGGAAAGCCAAAAACGGAAGATCATACGTCACGTGATTTGCATTTGCCGAAAACGCCAAGGGGGAGCCAAGTGTTTGATGCAAGCTCCTGACAGCTTCGTCCCCCAAAAGCACGAGACGCGCAGGGCTCCTAGGCGCACGCGAGGGTCGCTAAGGCCACACAACCACAGTGTAGCTATGGCGATCCTGCGTCGCTCCCTCGCGCGTAGCTTCAACTGAACCAGAGCCGAAATATCGGAAATGTCCCCAAACCATTGAAACCAAACCGGCCACATCCACTTCTTCACGGCTGAGAATGCCAAAAGTGCAGCTGTTTGCTCTCAGCTCGCCTTGCAAGGAGAACGCTCCAGATTCCATGTTTTGACTGAAGCAGACTTCAACCAGGGCTTGCCTCTGGGGGAAATCGACCACTCCCGGGTTTAAGTCTACGTCGGGTTTGGGTAGGTTTGTGGTGGGTTTCAGGGTTGGCTTCGGGTGGTTTAGGGTCGGTATAGGGTTTACTTGGGGTTTGTTAGGGTTGATTTCTGGTGGTTTAGTCCTGGTTCACAGCGGGGTTAGGGTTGATTCAGGGTTGGTGCAGGGCTGGTTTAGGGTTGGTGCAGGGCTGGTTTAGGGTGGGTTTAAGGTTGGTTTAGAGTTGGTTTAGGGGTTTAGTGGTGGTTTAGGGTTGGTTTCGGGTGGGTTTAAGGTTGGCATAAGGATTGGATTCGTGGTAGGTTCGGGTTGGTTTAGAGCTGGTTTAGAGATGGTTTAATGGTTGTTTAGAGTGAGTTTAGGGTTGGCTGGGCTTGTTTTTTTAGGGTGGGTTTAGTGTTGCTATAGGATTGGGGAGAGTTTGTTTTGTATTGGTGTGGGTTTAGGACGGATTTACTTGTGGTTTTGGCTGGGTGGTGTGGGGATGGGCTTCGGATTGGTATAGGGTGAGTTTAAGGGTTGGTTTAGGGGTGGTTAGGTTTGGAAAAGGGTGGGTTTTAGTCCGGCTTTGAGATGGGGATGTATATTTGTGGCTCAGGCGGGGTGTAGTGGGAGTTTAGAGTTGGTTTAGGGTGGTTTAGGGATAGTTTAGTGCTGGATTAGAGTGGGTTTAGGGTAGCTTCTTTTTATGCACCAGTATCTAGCTCTCTCCCCCTCTCTCTCGCTCTCTCTCCCTTCTCTCTTCTCTCTTCTTCTCTCTTCTCTCTTCTTCTCTCTTCTCTCTTCTCTCTTGGCCTAGGGTTGGGAAAGACTTTGCTTAGTGTTTGTTTAGTACTGTTTTGCGGTGGGTTGGAGGGGGGTTCTGGTAGGCTTAGGCTGGCTCAGGGATACTTAAGTGCTGGTTTAAGGTGGGTTTAGATTTGGTTTAGGATTGGTTTCGGGTGGGTTTAGGGTTGGTACAGGGATTGCTTAGGGCTTGTTTAGGGATGCTGCTTTGCGGGTTAGGAATTGTTTGGAGGTGTTTAATGTCTGCGCACGATTGGTACCCCCCCTTCCCCTTTTCCCTCCCAGATTCCCACCAATACTAAAGTAAAGGCCAACAAAATTTGCCCAAACAACCCTACTCAATATTTGTGTCGGGCCTCCTCCACCCCCCCCCCCTGATTGAAGGTATGCAGCCCCCACGCCCAAAGAACCTGCCAGAAAAGGGGCTTTCCTTTTTGCCGAGTATTTGCTTAGTCTGTGCTTAAACCAAGTCACTATTGAACCCTCAAGCTTTCCCAAAAGATGTGCTTCCCCCAACATGCTTCTGTCTTTAAATGTTACTTAAAATGACAAGGTGTTCAAGCTCACAAAGGGGACCCTGTTTGAAGGCCAGCCCCCCATTAACAAAAAACCACAGGCGATGAATCAGGGCCCTTTTGGACTCAAAAGGGAAAGTGATGTTGCCGTTTCAAGTGCTGCCCAGAAGGGGCCAGAAGTAAGAGGAGGACCAGTTGATCAGGGGAGTCCTCCAAAAAATATCAGTTTTGGCCTTGCCCAAACCCTGTCGACCTTCAAGGGGGAGGGGGGGGGGGAGGGGTTTACTAGTCAGGGGTAACCGTTAGATTGTCCTGGCAGAGATGCTAACTGAGGATGTGGAAAGCCAAAGCTACAACAACCGCCGCAAGCCACAAAAGCAAGCAAGCAGCCGCACAAGCCAAAAAGCAACCCACCAACGATTGACCGGCACACAGGGGACCCTTCCACGACCCAGCCTGCCAAACCTACGAAGAAAAAACAACTCGGGGCCCCTTCTGGTCTTCGACAGCATAAACCAAAAAGCGTGTGGAATGGGCAGACCTGAGCCCGATGTGAGCCTCGGATGCAACTGATCGTTTCTGCAATTCAGCTGAAGCCAGGGGGGGTTAACTTGGCAGAAACCAGGGCTGAGCTAGGCAGCTGAAACTGGTTGGGGGGGGGGGGGTTTAGACTAAGCGGGAGTGACGTCCCGCTACCGCAGAGCCTGATTCCTCGCCTCTGATTTCTTCTTCCAGTCTGGCATCTTGTCGTCCTTGACCTTCTCCCTCTCCTTCTCCTTGACTCGTAAAAGCTCACCCTGGAATTTCCAGGGGTCTACCCCGAACCCATAGTAAAGAACAACATGCCGCATTTGGCCATGCCGCATTTGGCAGGCCCAAACAACACATTGAAGCCTCTAAACATCAAAGCCTCCAAAAAACGAGCTGATGGTATGGGCCGGAAAGTTAAGATTACAAACCCGGAAGGCGAAAGGATTGGAGTGAGAAACGGCTGTCCTTTTTCTGAGGCTACCCTTTTTGAGATGGGGTTTAATGCCGAATTCCCTGTAAATACCAAACAAACCATGGTTTCCCTTGCTGTAAATACCAAACAAACTATGGTTTCGACCCTTGGTTCCATTTTGCAATGCGAAATCGATTTCGCAACCCACAGTATCTCAAGCACTGGACCATTTGTTGGGAGCCGTCCCGGGCCAAGAGACTCCCGGCTCAGAGACCCAAATGTGGGATTGCAACACATGGCCATGGGTCAAAATCCAAATCGTACGTGAACATCCGATTCAATCCCCACTAAAATAAACCAAAATGGGTGGTGAATTCGCCTACCCCAAAATGGTACCATTGGTTTTGGCCCACAGCCACATGAAGGTTGTCAATTTGGGGGGGGGACCTCAATAAGGGACTGAATCGGGACATGACAAGGTATATAGCCGCCCTCCAAACCAGAGGGCACCCAAAGGGTGTGAATTTTTGAGGGAACTCTGCTTGGCTGGCTTTCTAAAGGAAAAACAAGATTCCCTACCTATCGCAGCAGCAAGCTTTAACACAGATCCACTTTTCTATCGCACACCAATCTATCCTGAAAGCACACGGCGACATGACACAAGATCCAAGATGATTGTCACCTGATGGGTGCCCCAAGCATGGCACACATCGGGACCCGGCTCTCAACTGACTTTCCACTGACGTGTCTAACCTCCGAAGCACGCGGCATAATGTTATATTGACTGTGACTGACGTCAAGATAGGCCCAGCAACCACCCATGTACAATGGACCTCAATGATCGATGAACACGCGTGATGAGCAAGAACTTTGACGAACCTGCCGGCGGCATTTTCGTCAAACGTCGCGGACTTGGCCCATGTGGTACGCCGAACATCTTACTCTCTGACTCTGTTCCATATTCAGTCTTCCCTAAAATGCGACATCTGGGTCTGTCTGTTTTTGAGGACCCCTTTGTTCATTGGTTTCAAGAAGGAAACCAATAGGAAAGCCGTTGCGCCATTTGTTGGGCGGTCAACAGAAGAACAAACAGATAATATATATATATATATATGTATAAAAGAGAAAAGAACAAAAAAAAAAAAAAAAAAAAAAAACGAGAAAACCCACATGTTTGGAGGAGACCCCTGCCGATCCCTCTCCCTCCTTCTCCTTGATGGGGGTAGCGCCCTCCGCCAAGCGATGCTGGACCTGAGGCAAAGGCTCGCTCAAGTGATTCTACTGGCAAATATATATATATATATGTATACTCACTTGCCCAAAAGACCTGGAAATAAAGGGTTAATTAATCTTTTGGGACCTTTACTAAGAATGGACCAACATGGGAAAACCAAAAGGTCAAAAGGTCGATTCGCTTTGGGGAAGTGAGTATATATGCACGCTCGAAATTACTTACTTACGACCGTTTCGCTACTTAGTTTGTGAGTCTATCGTTTTCCAGCGGTTCCATCCTTTTCCATGGGTTTTCTTGAGAGTCATCTATCGTTTGGCATGGTTTTGGGCAGTTTCACAATATATCCATGAAACACTGAATACGAAACTCAACAGCAGTAACTTTGAGGGTACTTCGCATGTGAATACGTATGGGTGTATCTTTTTTCGAGTGCTCCCTCGTCTACAATATAGGTACATGTGTTTGAAGGTACGCTTTTCAGGTTGGTTTCAAGGGCACCTAGCAAGCAAAATAGCCATTTGGGGGGGGGGGGGGGGCCTGCCTGTTTTGACACATACCCCCCCTGCTTTGCAAGGGGATTTGTCAAGTAGACCCACCACTTGTTTGAACATATTTGCCCTCAAGCCAAATTCACTTGGAACCCACAAATTCGGTCCCCAAAAAGGCTTGCCGTCTGAAATCTAAATCGATGATTGTGTGTTTTCATGTTCACCTGCAATTGGGCGATCTGCCATGGTTTTCAGCTGTTGACAGGGGAGTCTTGGCAACTGGTGGTTCAAACCACTTTTGCAGATGGGCGGAACCCATCTGAAGGTTGGTTTGAAGGGAAACCCAAAACCAAGCCACCATTTGTGGGTTGGCACTACTTGGACACATACTCACTTCCTCAGAGGACTGGCCAAAACAAGTAACCAAGTGTTTTGTAATGTTTGCAGAATCTCCTTGTGAACCGATCCCTTTTTACTCACTTCCTGAGTGGGTTGGAAAGAAAAAGACGCTTTGCTTTGCTTGCCGCGAATATGGTCTTCCCTACAAAGTGGCTACAGTCCAGGAACGGGAGTGCGCATACCCAAGTAATGCCACACATTCCAGGACAGCCATCAATATGGCCCAAGTGGCCTCCGTTTGGCCATTCAGTGGCCAGGGAGGGGCCGGGGGCGGGGTGGGGGGGCTTTTGCCCTATGAGCATACCCCATAAACCCATTCTAATCATTTGCATTGCACCTGCGTAAGACTGTCGAAAAGGTGTAGGCCCACATGGGCACTGATTCGGTTCAGAGGTACATCATGTTAACTTTTAGCTGCCAATACCGACCTGGGCTGTCAGATCCCCCACCAAACCCTAAAAACATCTAAAAGCCTAAGGAACCGGAGCACCTGGTGAAGCTTGCGTGGCCATGTCGTCTCAGAACACTGAAGGCTTTGAAGCCAACGATGACTCATGTCGAGCCATTTGCATGCTCAACTCCAAATTCACGGCGAGTTCCCACACAAACGGGCTCCCAAACTGGATGTCGGTTGGTTTGGGAACATAAACCTAAGGACCTTGGCGAACCCTTAATGGGAAACCCGGATGAGCAAACCTATCCTGTAGACGGATGTCACTCACAACAGTGATCCGGATTCTCACTACAAGGGTGATTCGGTCCCCCCATGGATTCAGCCTCAGAACTCTCAAGGCTCGAGCTTTGGAAGCTGAGGCGGACACGACGTCAAAGGCCTTCCGCTTCTCCACGAAGACTTTCTTGCAAACGGCAATGTGCCTCCCAGCAACTGCCAAGGCGGGAAACTACTTTGAATCCTATCCGGAAATTTTGCATCCCCCAACTAAAAGGCCCTTCATCTGGGTGAGCCCGTTTTGCTCTCGGTTGAGCTCGTTGCAGTAAAACAGATGCAAGCAAACTTGGATCGCCTTGCCTATGCGATGCTCACCGTGAACAAGAACAAAGGCACATGAGCCATAATCAAAACCCGGTATTAAAATGGCCTACCCAGAACCATGTAAAGAACTAAGAAGGCGGATAACCGCAGCTATTTGTGGTTGGGATTGAACCTTACTAGCCTTCCTCTACCCGAATCGGTTTTGAGCAAGTGGCTCACATGCGCAACAAAAGAGGATCACCAATTCGGACAGCTTCAAGGTGGGTGCCTGCTTTCATCAGCCTTTAGCACCTTTTCGCAGGGTACCTAGTCGGGAGATGGCCACAAACGAGGTTCAACAGGAGTGTCTCCCTGGGCAGAGCAAAAAACACCTTGTTAAAGGACTGAAGATTCTACAAATATTCATGTACCCATGTCATACGAATGAATGTTCCACTGCAGCCTAGCTGATACCTCCGGAGGCTCAATTCTCTAGGTCCCTTTTGAAGTGCAAACCGAGTACCACTTTCAGGAAAACACACCGAAGTCAAAGATGGGTCTAGTAGGGGCTCAGCAACTGAGATTGTTCGCAAATGAACATTTTTGGTGTTGAAGTATCCAGAACCCCATTCACAGTAACCTGCCCGTCTGCTTTGTGTTCTCGGCTTGAGGATCTTGGGACCTCAGATTTGTGTCTGGTCCAACACCTTCCAATGGAGATCCCTTGCACCCAATTTGATGCCTGGGCTAGAAAGCAGAAAGCAAGCAGAACCTTCTGCTCACATCTCGGCTCACCGTTGCACCTCTCGTGGGCTTTCTCCGCAAACTTCCGGCCGCAGTGCGCGCAGGGAATCAGCAAGGACTCCTCGCATCGAAATAGACGGATCGGCTGACTTCCGTGGATCTGATGCTCCAGGAACTTTTGGTTTAAACACTCACTTGCCGGGAGGGACATGAAAAACAATCACAGGCGAACCTTCAGAATTTGGATAATCAATTTCAAAGTTCCAAATGGAATTTACGAGTGAGTTGGAGTTTTGGATGGCGTTGGCTACCTGGGGCGGTGGGAAACCTTAAGATGCCCTTGATGGAAACCGCAAGGGAGAGCAGATAGCGGTATATAGCGGTCATTCCCTCATTCCCTGCTCAGAACCAACAAGGTTCGTCTTCCGAAGGCTCTGAAGGGCAACTCTCAAGGGCTGTTGTTTCAACAGAGCTTTCTTCTGGCTGACAGAGGGGTTGAGGCATGGCAAGTCTTTGGGTTGAACAAAGAGCGCCTCTGTGGCGGTCCCAAAGCAAGCTCTGGGTATGGGAGCTTGGCTAGCAACCGATACCAAGACTACAAAGAGGGCTGATAGGCGACAATGCTTGCGGGAGACAATCGGAAACAGCTCCTGAAACGGGCTCCCAAACCGCTGGGATCTATTGAGGCAAGAAACATGGAAAACCCTTGCGCGCAACTCTGCTGCCAAGTAGACACCGCAAAACACTGAAGCCCCCAGCAACCACACGCCCTGACAAAGTGCGCATTGTCAAATACGTGGCCTTTGCTTGGGTGTTTAAAATTAGGGACCCGTCAACCCAGCAGGGGCTTCGCTACTTCTAGCCCAGCTTTCCCCCCCCTCCTCCCTCCCTCTCCCCGCCGATCAAACATATGTTGTTTGATTCTGGCCAAGACTCAATGAACCTTATGATAAAAATTCACCTCAAAACAGATCCAAGTCTCAGATGCCCAGTGGTCATGGGCAAAAAAGGGCACCTTTTTTTTGGGTTGGTTGAGTGTAAAGGGACACCCTTACCCAAAAACAAGGCTTGAAAAAAGCGCGGAATCCACTGGGCAACAGAGAGGTGGTCAAGAAGTGGAGTCCAATTCCATGTATCCCAGGACCCTTCCCGCATGTCCTCCACGACGCCCGGGGGCTCCTAACGCTCTAAGTGCCGGAGAATGCACGGACCAGTGGGTTTCTATGGGACCAAGGGGCACCCCCTTTGTTGTTCTTTGAATACAAAGGGACACCGATTCCCCCAAAAAGAGAGGAGAAAACGGGTACAACTAAAACCACTCTAAAGATACTCAATGGGGGGTGAGGCTGGGTTTGAGGCCTCTGGAGTTACTCTGCACGAACATGGAACCTGACAGAACGTTGCGAGGAGATTGGTCTTCCTTTGCCAGTCAGATCTTATTTTAGTGGATGTTTGTGGGAGGGCAAGCCTTTTCGAATCTGAAATCCAGCAAGGTTCGAGAAGGCAGGACCTGCCCCTGTTCTATCCGAACCCCATCCCTTGACATTTATCAAATGTGCGGAAGCTATGTGGTTGTTCTCCCCTTTCAAGTCTTTGGCTTGATCAATCTCGTCAGACTCAACACATGGGTATGGGTCAAAATTAAACCACCAGGATAAGGGCCACGACACAAACTTCAAGACAGGTGGGCCAGCAGGCAACAAGCTCGGTGTGGCTCATGAGCATCATGGCTACCTCGACAGGAAAAGTGAATGGATCGGCAATGTGGGTGTTGTTACGAAAATGTCGACCCGGATTGATCAATCTGATGGATGAAAAAGGGCATGTGTCCAGTGAGGGAATCCCTCTTTTGAATGGGACGCGACTGCCCTAGGATCCCAAAAAATGTTGGAGACCCAAAATCGTTTCTATTCGCACCCCTAAAGCGCTTGCGGGTGTGGCACCGGCAACCCCGGGCGCTTAGGGTGAGACAAATAATATAACCATCCTCTAGACAATCTGTTTCGCCTATAGGGGACAGTTGGCGAAAGTGATAGATTGTCGGGATATCCGATATTTGCGTGTTGCTTATGTGCTAGGATCACTGTGTTGTGTCAGTCCTTGAAATTAGAAGGCAACACCATTGCAAAACATAGTTCATAGTCTTCCATTGGCTTAAGTCAACCGGAAAATATACCAAAACCAGTAGCGATAGATTCCCTTTAAAACCAGCAGGGGAAAACAAAACATGTTCTTAAGCAAATGGAAGTAGTGATACAAACACACTTGCCCCGCACAAAACAAACTCTTGTCTCGCAAAAGGACATGGAGCAATTGGTTGTTTTCTTGGCCCGCCCTTCTCGTCCGAGCTAACAACACAAGCTCATGGCAGGGTACCCCAATGGACCAAACCAGTACTTTCCGGTTCTATTTCAGATTTAGTGGGTCTAAAATCTTGGCCTAAAACTGCGGTGCGCGGCAAATCATATCTTCAGGCTCTCATACTCAGTCAGCCCGATGTAAAATAAACACACCGTGGATGGACAACATCCTGCACCACCGTTCAGAAACCCTGGAATGAATCGATTCCCCAACGTACATAACCAATAATGGCTTCCTGTGGTTTCATTTCGTGGTGCGATTTCTGGATTTCGATTTCAACCATCCACACCATTAAGTCTAATTACTCAGGAAGTGGCAAGTTATTTTGGTCTCACAACCCGCTTTCCATGGTTTATAAGTCTCCGTGGGTAAGAGCCAGGCGCACTTCCCGCTTACAAAGGGCCCTGCCTTTGTAGGCAGGGATGGTTGGATGAGACACATATCAGAACAACTTCACTCGGCCTCCATTGCCCCAATTTGTTCCTGAAAGCCGGCTCCAATGGCGTCGGGTCGTGGGGCCTGGCAGGAAGCGACGAGATGTGTTGCACCCTGGAGGCTATGACTCACTTCCTGATGGATGAGCTAAACAAAAGGGAACCAACTAAAAATGAAAACTAAACCCAAAGAGGAATTCAAGTCCGAAACGGATTTTCGCTTCGGACCTGAGTCAGCTTTTCTCTTGGTTATTGAGAGCCGGAGGAATTTCGTTTCGCATACAAGAACCGGGGCTTCAAAGTGATTGGAGGTAACCTGAAAGTTGCTTGTTGAAAGGGAACACAACATGAAGGCAACTTGGTTGCTGTAACGACCCCTCTGCAAAACGTTTGACACTTTTTGTGGGTCCGATGCAAAAACCACTGCTTCCCAAAAAGCTAAAGTCCAAAGATCCAACCAAATAGTTATGAAGGAAAAGCATCAGAAACAAAAGTTCAACAGCTATCTTCCCCGACAGAGTGATCCTAGGCTTTTGTTCACAGGAATCCAGCAGAACTTCCAGGATGCAACATATTTTCCCAAGAAGGTAGTCTGGTATCCCAACATATCTTCATATTTCGAAGAACATGCTTGAACGGCTGTACAACTGCTTGCTTCAGAACCCCCAATTGAATTACTGGTGGTTCCAGGAAAATTTCACCCGTGGGTACTGCCCTCTAAACGGGGCCAAGGCCTTTCTCTGCCGAAAATAGCTCACCGCCCACGGTTTGTTGGTTGCTGTAACGACTCCTGCAAAAAGTCAAAATAATATTTTTGGAGGGTCTAATGGAACAAAACAATATAGACTATGCTTCAACCAATATATAGTTGGGGGTCAAAAGACTATTTTTGGGGTCCAATAGAACTTTTTGGACTGGAACAAAACAAACTATGCTTCAACCAAAAAGTTCCAGTCCAAAAGGTCCAACCAAATTAGCCATACACTTGTCGAAGCCTTCATCCCAAGCTTTGGTTCCGGAGAGCTGAAAAGGCTCAAAGGCTTTTTCCATGGAACAAAAACGCCGGCTAGTCTTTGAAGACGTTGGCACAACCCTGGAGTCGTGTTTCAACTTTGTGGAGTTTCCCCCGTGAACCTACGGGATTTGCCTCATTCAGGGAACCTCTTGGTGGTTTGGAGTGCGAGTTCCACCTGGCTCTTGTAGACTGGCCCGGAGCACCTCCAAACCACAAGTCCAAAACGCCACACGAGTCCGGGCCAGACATAGACACCCTGCAACAAAAGGTTACGCATTTTGATGGTTGAAAGCAATGAAAGACGACCAAAAAAATGGAAGGTGAATAAGGTAAGATAAGTCTGGCAGCTCGTTTGGAGGAGAAAATATCCTCAAATGCCCAGTGGCAATGGGAAAAAAACAAATTGGCATCCGTTTTTGGCTGGTTGAGTTTAAAGGGGAACCCTTCCCCCAGAAACAAAATAAATAAATAATAATAAAACGGAAGAAAAAAAGCGGAATCCACTGGGCAACTGGGCAACTCCACTTCTTGAGGCCTCCGCAGCGAAGTCTCTCCACACCTCCGGCCTCGCCGTAGCCGCCATGGCCGCCGTAGCCGCCCGCCGCCCGGATCGGGGGCGAGGCGGGCCGGGGCCGGAGCCCGTCCTCAGCGAATGGCGTTGGCTCGCTGGCTGGCGAGCTCCACATGGACCAAGTCTGGACGTTGACGTTGGGTTTGGGGAGCAACAAAAATGAAGATTTTAGCATTCTGGGTTGACGTTGGGTTTGGAGAGGGAGCAAGAAAAACTGAAGATTTTAAGCAGTTGAGTGGGGGGTTCAACCACTAAACCATAATAATATCAAAAATGGGAAATGTTTCCCAACAACAACCATGAATTCGGCCCGGCTTTCATGGACTTGTTGGTTGAGGTGGTTCGCTCACGAGGACATGGGCAAATTCAGCCTTCTTCAAAACGGGGGCGGCCGGCGGGCCATCCTGGATAAGCCCTTGAGAGCTTCTTACGAGGTTAGCCAAACTCCCACACGGGTACCTGAACATGGGCAAATGGTGCTATGACCTTGGACACTTAGGTTGTGCCTCCATACCAACAGTGGACTGCCAACCATATTGTTGGTGGGTCGTTGGCACAAAAATGCGTTACCTTTGGCTCTACCGCGGAAACCAAAACAAACGGGAACCTGCTGAACAAATGGACACAAACAACAGACCCTTGGAAACAGGCTTGTAAAAGGAAGTCAACATGATTCATCAACAGAATAGAAGACCTGCCGAGCTAGTTTGCACATATCAAAAAAGATTGTGTTGAATTGTGTCAGGCCCTGCTGCATCACACTCATTCTGTGCTTCTAGGTGAGATGCAAACTTGGGTTTGGGTGTGTTCCGCGCATGTCGAAGACCTGCAAAGCAGGTCGAAGCAAAGGTGATGTTGGTTTTGATTTGGGCCACCAACTTCAATGTAAACTGCACCCCACTTCTACCCTTTTCACATATACAGCTGACATGGTCGTGACTTGCAAACAAATCCATGCTGCAGACACCAATCGGATTTCACTCGGTCTGCCACAAAAGCACCTCCCCTCGCATCCTCCCGAGGTCTTTAAGCCACTGGATAGCTGTGTGGCCACCGTGGAAAATCATTAGAACAACGGACTCCTACAAGCTAGGTCCTCCAGTAGAGAGGTTAGAATAAGGGTTTTTCTTCTGTCGTCTTTTTGAGTAGGGAACCCTTCCCCAAAAAGGGGTAAAAGGGCACTACTGGGACCTAGCAAGCTTTCACTGGCCCCAGCTCCTTGACTGATGCGCTTCTCGAGAGGGGGGATGTAAGAGGAGGTGGTAAATGGGGGTGGACTAGGGAGCCCCATGAGAAGCCCTATCATTGACAATTCTCAAAGTCACCCCCGAAGTGGCCGAGGAAAGGGATACCACCCAAGTTTCTGACTTTGATTCTTCCAGCAGTCAGCATTTTGACCCGGGTTTCAGGCGGGTCATTGAGAAACCTCCAATCCGGTCTCAAGAGGACAACACTGCAGGTAGTATATACCCCATTGGAGCACCCCTTTTGCTCCCATTTCAGGGACAAGGAGTGCCTTGGTCTGCCAAACTGAACCAAAATCTGGGCTGTCCTCAGATCCCCCACTAAGACTGACTCACTTTTAGTGGCTTCAATGGAAACAACCACTTACTAAACCACCTAGAAAGAACCAAAAAGCTAAGAAACCAGATGGCTGGGAGCCCAGAAACGCGGACACATCCTGGTCTGAGAGCCATCGATCGATCGATCCCCCGCCTCAGGCGCCTCGGTCTGCGCGTAGGCGCCAGATGCACGGATCGGGGGCGAGGATGGGCGCGCCTGCCGAAGCGCTGAAAGCAACGCCGTGGTGGAGAATTGGTAGGCTTTTGGTTGAAGGGAGCACCCCCTGTTTGGTGGGGTTTTAAAGGGAGGTTTGCAGAAGAACTCAAATGAGCGCCATGGCACGTCTAGTTCGGTGTAGCAGGGCACATGTGGGCTTTTTCTCAAAATGGACCCCAAACATGGCTGATTCCCTTTAAAACCAACAGCGGGGTACCACCAAAAACGGGGGGTCTTCCCTTTAAAAACAAAACACCAAACAGGGGGTGTTTTGTTTCAGCCAAAAGCCAAGTCATTTTGGGAGAGGAACTACCAATTTGTTGCCGAAGGTCCCTGATTGCAGGCAAACCGCTAAAAACATGATGTTTAATTCATCTGATTTACATTCTGTTGGGGTTCAGTGACTTTAAAGAGGTTGATATTCATGTGCTCCTCACTTCCTGAGTGGATTGGCCAAACAAAGTCCAAACTTGCTTCTACTACCAAAATGGTCTTCCCAAAAAGCTGAAAGTGCAGGAACTCTTGCTGGTGCTCAGCAGGGAATAAGGGAATGGCCCGCAAAAAACCATCCCTTGTTCATATATGACTTGTGGTTTCCCCTGAAGGGGACCCGGTTCATTCCCTCATTCCCCAGGCCCTCCAGTAGAGAGGTTAGAATAAGGGTGCCCTTTTTGTCTGTAGTCTTTTTGAGTAGGGGAACCCTCCCCCCACAAACAAGAAACGGTCAAAGGGCACCTAGCTGAGGGACCTAGTTCCCTACTGAGCACCAGCAAGAACTCAGCTCGGTTGCTTTCTGCTCCCCTGCTAAAAGTGTAACTTTTGGTGGTTTACTGGAAAACCAAGCAAAGCTGGCAAAAGTCAAAGTACATCCAAGAAAAAGAAGAAGAAAAAACAGAAAGAAAAAAACAAAACGGGAAGTGAGGCTCTCCGGCTTGGGGTAAACCGGGCGCTCCATCGATCGCTCCCTCGCATCAGGCGCCTCAGGCGCCTCGGTCGGCGCGTAGGCGCCAGATGCGCGGATCGGGGGCGAGGATGGGCGCGCCTGCCGAAGCGTTGAACGCGACATTTTGGAGAACGGGTCAGTCGTCTTTTAATGGAACACCCGTTTGGTGTTTTGTTGTTTAAAGGGAACACCCCACTGAGTGGTTTGATTGAAAGGGAACACCCCATTGGGTGTTTTGTTGTTTAAAGGGAACACCCCATTTGGTGTTTTGTTGTTTAAAGGGAACACCCCTTGGTGTTTTGTTGTTTAAAGGGAACACCCCATTTGGTGTTTTGTTGTTTAAAGGGAACACCCCATTTGGTGTTTTGTTGTTTAAAGGGAACCCACTTGGTGTTTTGTTGTTTAAAGGGAACACCCCATTTGGTGTTTTGTTGTTTAAAGGGAACACCCCATTTGGTGTTTTGTTGTTTAAAGGGAACCCACTTGGTGTTTTGTTGTTTAAAGGGAACACCCCATTTGGTGTTTTGTTGTTTAAAGGGAACACCCCATTTGGTGTTTTGTTGTTTAAAGGGAACCCACTTGGTGTTTTGTTGTTTAAAGGGAACACCCCATTTGGTGTTTTGTTGTTTAAAGGGAACACCCCATTTGGTGTTTTGTTGTTTAAAGGGAACCCACTTGGTGTTTTGTTGTTTAAAGGGAACACCCCATTTGGTGTTTTGTTGTTTAAAGGGAACACCCCTTTTGGTGTTTTGTTGTTTAAAGGGAACCCATTTGGTGTTTTGTTGTTTGAAGGGACCACCCCATGTTTGGTGTCTTGTTGTTTAAAGGGAACACCATGGTTGGTGTGTTGTTGATTAAAGGGAACACCCCATTTGGTGTTTTGTTGTTTAAAGGGAACCCATTTGGTTTTTTGTTGTTGAAAGGGAACACCGCATTCGGTGTTTTGTTGTTTGAAGAGATTCCATTTGGTTTTTTGTTGTTGAAAGGGAACCCATTTGGCTTTTTGTTGTTTAAAGGGAACACCCCATTTGGTGTTTTGTTGTTCAAAGGGAACCCAGTTGGTGTTTTGTTGTTTAAAGGGAACACCCCGTTTGGTGTTTTGTTGTTCAAAGGGAACCCAGTTGGTGTTTTGTTGTTTAAGGGAAAACCCCATTTAATTTGTTGTTTAAAGGGAACCCATTTGGTGTTTTGTTGTTCAAAGGGAACCCATTTGGTTTTTTGTTGTTGAAAGGGAACACCCCATTTGGAGTTTTGTTGTTTCAAGGGAACCCATTTGGTGTTTTGTTGTTTAAAGGGAACACCCCATTTGGTGGTTGGCTTTAAAGGGAAGACCCCCTGTTTGGTGTTTTGTTTTAAAGGGAAGACCCCCTGTTTGGTGGGTTTTTGTTCAGGGAAGACCCTCGTTTTGGTGTGTGTTTCAAGGCACCAACCCCTTTTGGTTGTTTCTTCAAGGGAACACGCCCTTTGAGTCGCTTTTTTAATGCGGGCCAGGAGCAGCCATTTTGGGGGATCCATTTTGAGAAACACCCAAATGCACCTGTACCCAACTAGGCAAAGCTAAATTGAGTTGGTCTGCTTTGGTGTTTCTGTGAAGAGGAATTTGTTGCGGGAGGTCCCTGCAGGCAAACCGAAATGGGTGTTTTATTAGGGCACCCAAATGGTGGTGTATTTTTGGCTTCCATGAAAAACAACGCAAACAAGAGGGTACTTTCAAAAAAAGACACCCAAAATAACCAGTATTCAAGTTCCAGCATGCAAAGCGACTGCAAGGGCATGCAGGGTGTCAAAGGGTTGGTAGAGTTGAGGCGAGTTGGATGCGTAGGCACATACCCTAAGTTTCTGGAGAAACAAATCATGATACCCAACGGGTATAGCATGTTCCGCTCTACTTTCCCGAGAAAACCAGCATGACGCTTCGGCCTTTTGGGGTGGGGGGGATGAGCTCGTTTTGACACATCTCTAAACTGGGTTGACGTTGGAAGGGGAGCAACAATTTAAATTTTAGCAGTTGAGTGGGGGTTTCAACCACTAAACCACAATAAGATCAAACATGAAAAATGTTTCCCAGCGACAACCATGTAAAGCTCCCTCATTGTCAAGTGCTGTTCCCCCATTCAGGACTCAAAGCTCCTGCCCGAAAAGTTGGCAACAAGATCCAGAGGTGATGATTGATGCAACAGGAAATGCTGGGCCGGCCCGGCAACCAGACCGGAATCCACTGAAACAGCTGACTTAGGAATATCGGGGTTGCGCGTATCATAAAGCGTGAAATAATTAGAACAGGGGATTCGGGTACTTCACCAAGTTTAGTCATGGGCAATAAGGTTTGTGCGCGTATTTGTTTGGCCAAAATTTAGCCACTTATCTTCTCCCCATGTTCGATGTTGCGGAAAGCTGTTGGATAAGGTCAGGGCTCCCTATATACAAATTGGTGTTCCAATTTCGGCTTTCGTGTAAAACCATCCCTTAAACAAAGACACAGCCCCGATTTCCTCTTCGAACTTCACCCTAGCAAACTCACGTTTTTGTCTGCCCTTTGTTGTGATGTCTAAAGGAAACGAAGGGGAAATCACTGGGGACTGACGCTATCAGATCGCTGCAAAAGACTGTCGGGTGAGCCGCTGCGCTATCCGCCGATTCCGTGGCTCCGCTCAAATCCGTCTCTGTGTAGGAAATGGTCTATCTGGACCCCCATGTTGTATAGACTTAGTGACTTTGAGGATGCTTTCCCAGGTAACCTTATCAACGCGGTACGTACTCCCTTTGTGGATCCACGACCGAAGGGCCGGGCAAAAGTTGCTTCAACAAGACACTGAGACCCCTGGCCGACCCTGAGACCCCTGGCCCTTGTCAAAGGGGAAACCAAAAGCAACCCCCAAAAAAACGCGGGACAGACCCTGAGACCCCTGGCCCTTGTCAAAGGGGAAACCCAAAGGCCCGCAAAAAAAGAAGAAGAAGAACAACACACCATGGGACCACTCCCAAAACCACAAGGAGGGTGGCCCCAAACCGGGGGAACAAAAAACAAAAACGCGGGACCACTCCCACTCAACGCTCGCTGCCTGTGTCTCGCTGGACCTCTGTGGAGGAGAAGGCGGCGCCTGCAACTCGCGTGATGTCGTCCGAGGTCGAACCGTGGCCACAAACACCACTCTCACTTTGCCCAGAGGACCTGGAAATGGGCTTAGTTCATCCTTTTGGGGCCACGACTAAAGACATAGACCAAACATCTAGGGGCTGATTCCCCAGTCTTTCCAAGCATCGTTCTTTTCGGAAACAATTTTGCCTGGGTTTCCAAACGCTTTCTAGAAAGAAGGATCCCTGGAAAGAATGGGGAAGGTGCCCCTAGAACAAAGCAACTTGGTTCATCCCACACAAAATTTGTAGCCAAAAGCTTGGAGGGCAAGGTTTGAGGTTGGTACAGAGGGTAGGTACAGCCCAACCAACCTGCAAGTGATGGCACTTTCACTGTTACACAAACACAAAGACACCCAAAGTGTGTGAACCCAACCAGCGCTTTATGCTATAATCCAGACATGGCCAGACGATAGACAAGGCAAAGCTTTGCGAGTTATTCTTTACGGTACAAAGGGTGCATGTGCCACATAGATGTAGTTGTAAGATTGAGTATGTGTCACACTAGGGAAACTCCCTGTTTGGAGCACGTCATTTTGAGAGGCCCCTAATTTCTGCGCAGTAAATGCAAACTTCGGAGAAATCTGGTGCGGACTGAATCGACATGTTGACCAAACCTGAAATCGACAATAAGGCGCTTGGAGAACTCCTATGTTCTCATTTGCGTGGGGTGAAGGGTTCAGACTTAAATGGACCCCCCTATGAATCAACCAAAGGTTTATGAATCTGAGTCATAAGCAAGACCTGGTATGAAAATGGTCTATCCAGAACCATGTAAAGAGTTACAAAGGCGGCTGCGCCCATTCTACCCGGGTTTTGATTGTGGCTCACACAAGGTCAAACTAGTCTCTCAACTTGCCCCGATGCCTTTTCCCTGCCTGCCTGAGGTCGCGGGTGAACCTTGCCAGCCGAAATCAGGGGCCTGTGAAAAACCAATTTCATGCGAAAATCAAGGGGACCTTTTCTAACCCAGACCCCCAGTAGTTGACTAATAAAAGGACCCCCGCCAATAACAAGGAAACAAACACACCTCTGGGTGTACTTCTGGTATAAATGGACCACCCTTGAAACGTGCTGGTTTGTGAAAGCCGCCTCTTGACCCCGTCACCTGAACCTACTTTGTGATAGCTTCTTCGTGCGGAAACAACCTCCAGCTCGTGAGATGCCGCAGAAATTGAGGGCCAAGCTCAAGGTCGGGCCAACCCCCTGTTGAAACATTGAGTTGGTGCCCCTTTTTCAGTGGGTTTTGAAGGAAACCAAGAGGCAATCCACCATTTTGGGGGGTCTGAATCCTAAAAGGACACACCCATATGGCCATCATGTTTTTGGGTGGTCCCTTTTTGTGATTGCTTTGACATGGCTTGAAGGGAACCAAAGAACCACCTTTTTTGGGCGGGGCGGGGGGTGAGAAACCCATGAATTCAAAGGTAAAACCGGCGCCGGCGTCAACTTGGCCAGTTTGGCCCTAACGGTTTCCAAGATGGGATGTTGTGACCTCTTTGGATATGTGTAGGTGGGCTTTGTTGCAAGGGAAGCCAACTTGAAATCACAGATATTGCTAGGCACCCGGGTTTCTACTCCGGGAAAACAGAAATCAATCCGAAATGTACCGGTCCATAGAATCACAAAGCCCGCTTGAAAGGATTGGCCAAACAAGAATCACAACTCCAGCACCCCGCAAGCACTGTTTGCATTGGGGATTTTATGGACATGGGACGCCGAAAATTTTATGGGTGGGTGCTGGTTGTTTGCCACACTGATGGTCAAACAGTGAAGGCCCGCGAACTCGGGGAGTGAGCTTCTGGGTTGCTGAACCCAAACCGGGACGAGCTTGAGAGACAATTGGCCCGAAGGAATTCTCAGCTCCGAAGCCTTGAGGTGTCCTGCAAACCTCTAACAGACCAAGTGAAAACCGCAGAGAAGAACCTCTATGGGTTGACGTTGGGTTTGGGGAGCAAAAAATCACAGATTTTAGCAGTTGAGTGGAAATTCCACCACTAAACCACAATAAGATCAAAAAATTGGGAAACATGTTTCCCGTAGCAACAACCATGGACCTCGGGTCACGTTCCTGAGACTTTGCCCAGATCCGCGCCGCTCGTGCCTTCCCGTGACGCATGGAGCCATGGGAACAAAACCCGAACGCTTCTTGGTTACCTTGGGGAATTGACTCATTCCGGGTTTCGCAGGTGCAAAATGGAGCTCGCAGCCATCCACACAAAAGGTTCCAACGGATCCAAGTGCCTTGCTTTCTTCTTCGGATCAACGGGTCAGAACATGTCTTCAAATACGAATCTTCCATTTTGCGGCTCGTCCCCTGGCAAAAACACTTTTTAACATATGTCCAACAGTGATAGAATACTTTTAACAACAAACACAAATCACACACACACATACTTGTCCAATAGATAGTTTACTTTTAACACCAAACAACCAAAACATACACACACACACACACACTCTTCAGCACATGCAGCGCATATTCAGTCGACACGATTTGCAAAAGCGACGCCCTGTGAAAGGAACCAAAGGCACAAAAAGCCCAAGCTCGCAACAGCAGAATCCTTGGCCGTAACTTAAAAACTCAAATCAACTGGGTGCTGTCCAAACTAATCTCCTGCTAAAAGCGTTGTAACTTACCCAACCACTAAACCCACTAAAAACGTCATTAAAGCCCTAATTAAGGAACCAAACGGTTGCGATTCCCCGGCGAGCAAAGACCAGTGTTCCTGAAACAAACCCAACTTGCACCCATCAAAATCGACCCCGGCCTTCTTGCTTGGAGCTTTGCCGCGCGGCGGGGAAGGTCTCACGGCCTGCGGAAATATGTTTTTTTTTTCTTTTTTTTTTTTTTTAAGGTTTCTTTTTATTTATTTTAGAAAAAAAAAAAAAAAAAAAAACGAGCTGCGTGTTGAGCAGGTCATGCCCCATGTTTTCACACAATGAGCTTGGGAGATACGGGAAGAAAGAACCTGGTCTAGGCCACTGGACTGGGAGGCACAGTTGGAAGGCCCAAAGCCTGAAGAAAAAAAACATGTGTGGTGTGCCCAAATGACCTTGGGAGTTGATGAGAAGCAACATTGCCTAGGCTTTTCAGTAGAGAGGATTGGATCAGGGCACCATTTGTTTTTTGGTTTTGTCGATTTTAGTAGGGAACCCTCCTCCAAAAAAAGTTGATAAAAGGGCACCTAGCTGGGGGACCTAGTTGTATTATGTTCTTGAGAGTCTTGCCGGGTCCCTTGATTTTCGCAGAAACAAAAACCATGGTACTGTATGTTCGTTACCTCCCCGCATAGGAAAGGATGGTTTCGGAGAGTCTCACCGGGTCCCTGGACTTTCGTCCCGCGGCTGGCGCTGAACTCCGACCAGTAGAGAACCCGCCCCCGAGCCAAAAAACACAGGGCTCGTTGTGTAAAAACAAAAACCAAAAAAAACGGACAAACAACCTCTTGGGGTTGGAGAACCTCGTGTTTTCCTTGGCCACCTTTTCTGGGTTGACGTTGGGTTTGGGGAGCAAAAAAAAAACATGGCTTTTTTTTTAGCACTTGCGTGGGGGTTTCAACCACTAAACCACAATAAGCAAACATGTAAAGAAAAAAAACACGTTTCCAACAACAGCCATGTTTTGGGTGTTCGACTTGTTTTCACTTTGACCGCATTTTTAAACAACTTCCCGGTCCAAAGCACGGGTTGAAGCATAGTGACTTAGTGCTGTCCTCGCTTCAACATGAGCTGCTTTGAAGCGCGGGGGCTGGGGTGTTGCTGTCCTTCCTCCCAAATGGCACCTGGAGGCACCTGGGCCACTGGAAGATCAATGTCCATTTGGGCAATGTGGGAAGGGGGAAAATGAAGGACACCCAAGCTGACTCTGCTCCGCTGCACAAACAAATAAAATTTGACGAGTAGCAACTGTCTCTGGTGCAGCAATATGACATCTCGAGTTGTCATAACACTGATAGCTTGGTTGCCGGTGGAAAAAGAGTAACAATTCTCATTTTTCAGCAGCTGAGTGTGGATTACAACCACTACACCACAAGCAAAAATGTAAAACATGTTTCCCCACGACAACCATGTAACACTGCTAGTGTCCTGTGCCTAAACAACCAAAGTGCCATGTTCCCCACCGTGTCAGTTCGCCTCGACTGCATCAAAGGGCCGCGAAGAGGCAGCGCCGGAAGCGGCGGAAGGCCGAGAGGCGCGGCTCACCTCGTCGCCCATGGCCACGGGGCGGTCGACTCAAATCTGGCTGTGGCGAATTCAAAACAACCGGAATTCCAAAATGGGTTGCCCTGGTAAGTGGAAACATGGTTGCCAAAACCTGCGGTTTGCCCCAGCTGTTTAATTCTGAGCCACACCCATCTGCAAAAAGTTCAAGTCTTGGCGGGCGAAATGGGAACTTCCCATGGCCACTATAACCCGAAAACAACAACAAAAACGCTAAACAAAAAAACTCAGTTACCCAAAGAAACTGCGAGCAGGTGCTTTCCAACTTGATCCGAGCGCATCTTGCGGCCTCCGGAGCCGCATAGCTGCCTGCGGCGCGGATAGGGGGTGAAGCAGGCCGCGCCGCAGCCTGGGCGATTCAGGGCAAGGACCAAGGCCTGGACCCCCTGGACACCAAACCTGGCCTAAACAACAATCTGGGGCCAACAAGTAAGCTCACCTCAAGCCTCAAGCCGGTGCGATAACTCAAATTGCATTCGCTCCGATCCTGTTGGCTTGTCGTCTAATGGCCATCAACCGCTCAATTGCTCCTCCTTGAAACCCGGTCACACATATCGGACATGGAACAGCTGTATGAACATTGATAGATCGGCAGTCTGTCGAACACTGGTTCATAGACTGATGAAACATGCTCAGTTGTTCAGTGACCCTGGAAAAAAAGGATTGGAACCCTTTTTTGGGGCTTGGACCATTTTAGTGGGGCAGCCACCAAAAAAGAAGTTGGAAAAAATTGGGCCACTGAACAACTGAGCATGTTAGCCTAGCGTCCGTCTTCTCAGTGTTCCGTCTGAAAGGCATCCACCCTCCAGGGATTCCTGATACCCGCCAGTGTCAACCTTGATTCAAAGAACCACTCGCACCCGTGCAAAAAACAACCATGGGACACATTAATTACCACTTCGAAACTTGAACCACAAGGTTGATTGATTGATTGATTGATTGATTGATTGATTGATTGATTGATTGATTGATTGATTGATTGATTGATTGATTGATTGATTGATTGATTGATTGATTGACTAATTAGCCTGAACCTAGTTCCCCTTTTGCGAGCTGAAGTCTGAGATAAACGCCTAGTGTGACACATACTACGTTTTGAGATCCCTTGATTGACTAGGGTAATGCACGTCTTTGAATGTCGGACATGTTATGCACAACATCAAGACGTTTGTCGTCATTTGCTCATTTACAGGACCTATGTACAAACAAAACCCTTCACAAAAGCCATAGATGGATTGGGCTTGCACTTGTGCGACACCACTCAACCAAATGACCTCCTGATGATGCGAGGTGACTACGTCGGACCGCATTTGTGCGATTAATGAGTTCCAAAACGTGGGTTCTAAGCTCTCTTCCTGAGTGGATTGGCCACAAAAAACCCTCGAACCTGTTGCTTATCACTACATATTCCCAACAAGTAAGTCTAGGAAGTCAGGGAGTCACGATGAAATTACACACAATTCCACACATGTCATGTTTTGCTTACCCCTTAAAACTCCAAGCCTTGGGGAAGTTCTCATCTTTTACAGCCATATAGCCCATGTTACCCAAAAAGTTGAGAAAAGTGGTGTTTTTAGGAGGTAAGGTTTTGGTTTTCTACAAACGTGGCGATTTGCTTTTCGGCCCACTGCACCTCTGGCATTCGGTAGCCGCCGCTGGCCCGGATGGGCGGCGAGTCCGTGCGGGTTGGTGGAGCCTATGGCACGTCGGTTTCCAGGCGGCTCGTCTTTTTTGAGGCTCGCTCGCCCTTCTATAATGTTGCTCCAATGGGAAAAAAACAAAAACAAGGAACGTCGAAGCCATTGTTGGGATCACACATTTTGAGACATACGTTAAATTTCCGCTCTTGTAGGGCCATTTGGCACGTGTACAAATACAATGCGGGCATTTCTAAAGCCGGTGGTCTGAATTGGCTGCAGTCAACATTGTCTGTTTGGATCTGTGTGTGTGTTTCAGCAACCAACATGACCTGATGTTTCGTCAGATGGTCTGAACCTCACCTGAACCATAGTCTGAACTATAGGCTTCTTAAAATTGTCCTTCGAAACAGTGGGTTGGCGGCGGATTTTGGGAGTTCGCAAACAAATAGCAAGTTGAAAATTCATGTACGTATGCTGACTATATAGGTGTGTCTTCTGTAGGGGACCCTCAAAAAAGTGTCCCTGAGGGCACCGCAAACCGCACCCCGGTGTAATACTATCCGCTCATGCCAACCCCGGTCTATTCTTTATTGGGTCCCAAAAAACAAAGGAATTTTTGGTGAGCAACCCTCAGTATACACCTGGCATACCTGGAGATTGGTGTGCGCCCAGTGCCATCCACTACTAGCTACAGGAAAACCGTAAATACTGATAGAAAATTTCAAGATGCGTTTGTTGCTTCATCACAGTGGCCGGGGTTGGGGGGGGATCAAGCCTTCGAATTCCTGAAGCATGTTGAGCTACTGCCCGTCGCGGAACCCATGTCGCGTGACCGAAATCCATCCTCCAGCCGGCTTCAGCCCCTCTGAAGCAAGTCCCTTGGTCCTTCCGCGACCCAAACCTGCCTCGAGGCTGGGCAGGAACTTGTCGAACCCCCGCTAGAACCATTCAATTCTGGCTTAAATTTACCCTAAAAACTGGATAAGTCTGCCCTAGCAACCGGTCACATTTCTCTGCAAGAAGCCGGTCAAATTCTCCTAGAACCCGGCCAAATTCCCCCCTAGAAGAATGGTCAAACCCCGGCCAAATCGCTCAGCCGCCCTGCCCAATTCTTGTTCCTCAGCCCAGACCCTTGGCTTCGCTTGGCCCCAGTCCGCTGCCCTCAGACTGCGGCTCTCGTTCGACTCACTCACTTAATCAAACACAACACTTCAAGGCAAACGAAAACAGTACCTCAAAGCCAGCCAAGAGCATGCTGGCCAAGGCGGGCAACGCGAAGCGTTTACAGTTGGGTTCGTATTAGCTGGGTCCGACTGTCTGGGTCCAAGTGGCCCGTTTGACAATTGCTGTGGCAACTAATCCTTAAATGGCTTGTGGCTGCAACTCGTCCTTACCAATATCGGCAACCAAACACCCTGGCCCACATAAAAAAAAGCCACCCCCGCGCTGCCGCGGCAAGTGGCTCGTGTTGCTCTCGCCCGCGGCGGTGTGGCATCTCTTGCGGCCGTCCTCTCTCCTGAGCTCATTGCAATCCCAATGAGACATGACTATCAGCGTTTGAAGCCCGGTGGTTTGGTTGAGGGGGTGGTTTCCCATGTACCCTACAAGAGCTATAGGTTCAAATCCAAATCCAAGCCACAAATCCAAGCCACCAGATAAGTCACAGCTTCCTTCTAATTGGTGGTTTGGATTGGTGAGCTGGATGAGCCATGACCACCAGCAGGGAGTAACAAATCGCCTGCGTTGCCGCCTGGATTCACCTCAATCGGTTTCCCCTTGGTTTGCCCAAGAAAGGAATTTTCATCCGTGGGGTTCGCCAAAAATACCTTGGCACTCGGGCGCATGTCAACATCGACTCTTGATCTCACCCCTTGTTCCTCATGGGTGTAATTTGCAGGGGCTCTATGACGGACATCATGGGGATGTATCACTAGCCTTTCTTCCAATCCAGTTTCCCTTTACCAAGGGAACTCACCTTGGGCGAAACCATGCAGGAGAAGTCTGACCCCTCGACCCCGAAAACCCAACAGCGGCAAGAGGCCGGCCTTTGGGCTTGGGATTGGACCGTCAACTTGGGGCAGCCGGATCCGAGGGAAACAAGTTTCACGTTGTATCTTGGTGAAAAGGGAAGGATATCCAAGAGGGCGCAAAGAAATCAAGAAGAGGTTGCGGTTGGCACTAGACTTGATCCGACTGAAAACTTAGACCCCCTGCAAAAAGCTAAATAAACATGTCGCTGGTGGAAGGGGAAATTTGGTTTTTAGAGCCAGACATCAGAAGGCGACCAGCTAAGCAAACTAGGTCCTCCAGTAGAGAGGTGAGAGTAAGGGTGCCCTTTTTCTGTAGTCTATTTTAGTAGGGGAACCCGCCCCCCAAAAAAGAAACGGCAAAAGGGCACTACTAAAAAAACCTAGCACAACTAAAGTCTGGCAAGGGAAATTCGCAACCTCCCACCTCCCAGCCGTGTCTCTGGAAGGCGCCGAATGCGGCGCCGAATGCGCCGGCGGAGTCTTGGGTCCGGCTCCGGCACGGGGGGGCCTGGCAGGGCTCCGAAGGAAGTGACTTGAGCTTCGGCAAAGTTCACCTGGGCGTCCTGCCAAGTTCGCAGGGGTAGTTATAAGCATGTTTATAGCTCAAATAACTGGGGCGACCGTCCCCTGACCATGGTTCTAAGCTACTCACGTGGTTTGCACACCCAAGTAATGTGGGCCTCTTTTATTAATAGTACTCTCTATCGTGGAGTTGTTTCTATATAATCCAGAACCGTTTGACTGTTTTAGGGGTCCTCTATGGTGGAACGGTTTTTTGCCGGAAACAACGCTGGAAAAATGTGGGCAAACAACTTGGCAAACAAGTCGGGAAAACAACGGGCAAACAAATCCTGGCAAACACTGGGAGATCCTTTTCTTGAAGTGGCCCCCGAACCATCAAATTTAAGACAACTTCTTTACAAACAAGTGCGGGGAAACAATTGCACAAAGGGGGGTGCCCATCTCTTTAATGCGACTGGTTTGGGGTCCTCTTTAGAATACACAAGTAGAATTGGCAAAAATTGCTAAAGCGAGTACTGGGAAGCTGAGAGTCAGCCTTGGCAATACTAAAGTAGAATTGGCAATACTAAAGTAAGTACTGTCCCTCCCAGACCTTCCAGAAATTCACTAAAGAGAGTCCTGCTGACTGTTTCCACTGGGGGGTTTAAATTGAAGAGAGTCCAACATTCAGCTTCCCCCGTGAAGCTTCCCATCCACCAGCTCAAGCGCCGACGTCTGAGCCATGATCACAGGTCAATGACCAGCCCATGTTTCCGCAGCTTCTTGTTTTGACCACGCATGGGTGTCTCCGCTTTTAAAAGACCCCCAATGCTTGGTGTCCGTTTGGTTTCCCGGAAAAAAAAAAAAAAAACGAAAGGAGGTAGCCTCCAAAAACACACACCCCAGCATGTAAAAACACTTGCGCGCCTGCGCGGCGGCTGGTTGGGACTCTCCTCCAAGCGCCGACTGCTGCTGCGCGCTATGCCCCGCGGCGCGGAGACGCTGCCGCCCCGCGACGCGGAGACCGAAGCGCCACGGCCGTCCTCGCCGCGAAAGGGCGGCCACGCCGTCCAACATGCCCCTGGCTTTGTGTTGAAAATGCCTGTTTACAGCGTGGTGTACCTTTTTAAACCGACCCCAACAAAGCCTCACGTCCTGAGGGGATTGGAAAAAAGTCTGAACTTCTTCTTTATGATTAACATGGTCTTCTCGAAAAGCTTAAAGTCCAGCAACTCAGGAAGTAAGAGGCTAATTACACTCCAAACTATATGCACGCGTGGGCATAGACATGGCTTTCTGATTGGAACCTTGGTAGATTGTCAAGTGGGCGTCACTTCACTGACAAGTTGTTGCGTGGCGTCATGGGTCCTACTTGATACCTCAACACCTTACAATGGTTCTGTAAGACACTTTAAAATTTTGGGTTCGTCATGATTTTACGCCTCCAGCGAAAACGTCAATTGTGGCTCCAGCTTCTCCTAAGCAAACATTTTGGTCACGCTGTCAGCTTGTTCGATAGGCTCCGAGGTGGTTTGGGGCAGTTTTCATTGCTGCTGGGGATACCATCTGGGCTTAGTTCTGGAAAGCTTTGGATCAAAGACCCTTCATGTCGTTTTTGAGGGCATCATGTTTTGTGGTTTTAAAGGGAAACCAAAAGGTAAAGCCCCATTTGCAGGGTCCCCTACCAATTCAGCTTGGAGGTTGGGGGTTCCCATTTACCAACAACAGCCATGCGTTAAAAAACCCTGAACCAATCCAAACCAACTAAGGGTTGCCCTCCCAACATGGAACCTGAAAAAGGATCCGCGTTACAGGACAGTGGTCTTAGTTCCATGTTTCTTAGGGGACATGATGAAACCCTATACTGGAATACGCCACCTACCCACTGGTGCTGGATTTTTGTCCACCAAAGTAGGTCTGCGCAAATCAAACATTGACCCATCTTCTTGTGGCTTCGTCGGAAAACGACAGATGATCAAAAACAAATGCACACCAAGACAAACAGGCTTCCCTGCATTCCCCCTTCTACCATCAAGCCACCAAGAAGTTCACTTGAAATGGCAAACTTTCAAGCATCAGCAAAACACAAATCGGCACAGAAGTTTCAGGATTTGGTGGGTTTCGGTATCACCATTGCGCGACTTCAAAGTTTCAGATTGGGTGATTTAAGAGAAATACACGGATAGACGTGCACTGGGCAAAGCTCCATGGTAGCTCTTTTGACCGGCACCCTTACCATGGTTGCCCAAAGAAGGCCTGAAGGTTCGCGACCGCCCCCCAACCCCCCCAACCCCCCAAAGCAGGTCACGTCACGCCGGACCCACACGCTGCGCCGGGCCGCCGAGAGCGGTGGCAGCGAGCTGTCGCGGTAGCCCCGGCTTTCGTCCCGGCGGCCGCGGCTTTGAGAACCTCCGGAGACGTCAAGTTCTAGCAACTCCTTAAAAGCAAATATGTAAAACCCCATAGGTATATGTTTCCAGCAGTGGTCGATTTTTTTTAGAACCAACAAGGGGGAAAAACGAAAAAAACATCTTGAGCAAATGGAAGTACTCGACGCGCAAGTATAGGTGTCCTTTTAGGGGAGATAGATGGCCATAGGTGTGCTTTTAGGTGTTAGGAAACAGTAACTCTTTAGATGGGCATAGGTGTCCTTTTAGGAAATAGATGGGTTTCCCTGCTAGATGATGAAATTACCAGGTAAACCTGGGCCATCTATTGTTCTACCAAAACAACCAAAAAGGACACATATGTAAAGCCCCCTAACAAATGGCCTGCATCATGGGTCAGCTCGCTTTGGCCCCAGTTGAGCTGGCTATGTACATAAAGTATATTATCCAAGTCATTGGCTTCCTCTAGTTGATCGTTAAAACCATACCTCTAAATGAGCGCAACCTACTCCAACACATGGATCCATCTGGGTTTGCCACCATTGAACGGTGAGATGTTCCCAATCAGTGCTTGGCTGACCGTTGCGGTGTTCATCTCTGCATCATGCTGCAAGTGACTTTCATTTGCTTCAGCCCTGGAAAAAATAAACATATGTCCAGTAGCGATAGATTCCCCAACAAGGAAAAAAACAAGGAACGAGCACCTAAAAGGGGAAGGACTGGAATTGACAGGAGCATGTATTTTTTTTATCCAGCAAAACGGACCAAGGGAAAAAGGAAGGGTTCCCCGTTACCCTTGAGTTCAAACGGAACCGTTGGACAACAACGGCTTCATCCTCGGGGAGGCGTCCCCACTGTAACTTCCCTGATTGGCTACAGGGAGGGGAATGGTTAGATGCCCCTCGCCGTTTTCCTTTTGGTGAAAGGGTGGCTCTTTTGCTTACCTACAAAACCGGCGAAATGCAATCACCGGGGGACCATTCAAACCCGTCAAACACCTGAACCTCTTGTTACTTACTGTTCATGCACTTGGAATGGCTACCTGTGGCATTTGTGGGAACTCACTTAGAAACAAGGAAAGTGGGTATCACTGAGCATCATCTCTTCCAAATCCTTGAAATCTGGGCCAGCAGCCTCTTCTTTGTTGCAGCCACTAAACACGAACAGAATCAAAGAACCAACAGCTAGAACGTGCCTTGACTCATTGACCAGTGAGCATCTGTGCCAACTTGCTGCCTGATCAGGGCTCCCTATATTTCCCTTTAAAACATCACCCCCGCCAAGGGATACTCACCTTTCATGGACCAAAAAGGGATGTTTAAAACCACCAGAAAGGGAAATATAGGGACCCCTGCTGATTCTGTCCCAGACACGTGGCGCGCGCTCGAATCGAGATCGCTCTGAGCCAATGGGGGGCAGTGAGCTGTCTCGCTCCCGGTCACGTGTCCATCCAGGCTGCCGTAGACGTGATTCCATGGCCACGAAGCCAAGCAGCCAAGCTAGCAGCTAGCTGTGGGATGGATCATATATATATATAACTCCTCAGATCCGATCGAGTGCATGTGCCAAACAAGTCTGAACTTTTGGTTTAGCACTAAAATGGTCTTCCCAAAAAGGTTAAGTGAAGAAACTCAGGAAGTGAGTGACTGGGCTGTCCTCAGATCCCTTCCTAAAAGTAACTCACCTTTAGTGGGGCATATGGAAACCCAACCACTAACCCAACAAAAAAGCTAAAAAGCTGAGGGGGTGGCTGGGAACCACAAAGACAATACACACATGTCACTTGCCCATGAACATGACTTGGAGTTAGTACTCCACAGCGGAAGATCGATTTGGGAACTTCCAGGAACCCACTTCTCGGTGGCTTTTGTCCCTAGACGTGACTTCCATGATTCTTGGAAAAGGGGGTACATCCAAACAAAGGCCTATGATATCCTCTGATGGCTGTGGAACCTGTTCTACATTTGATAGACAACATTGTTTGTGGATTGCTTCAAGACAACGCCTTGGTCTTACAAGTAGTAGTGCTTGTTCCATCATGCGGCATCGAAAGGGACCTATGCCAGGCGCAGCGAGCTTGTTTGTGCCGTGTGGTCGCCTTTGGGGCATGGGAGGGGTGGCAGCATGCCACAGCGCAGTTTGATTTCTCTGACGTCATGTGAACTTATGCTGAAATGCTTAACAACTGTTCTCTTAGCCCTTAAACATCCGGCTTGCTTGTCACTGCCGAAATAGCAGCTGACAAAATGGCATGATTCGGCAAACACTTTTGGGATGGGGCACCGGGGTACGAGTGACAGTCAAATTCGGGCACTTCGCAAGATCCATTGCTCGCTTTCTATTTCATTCGTTCCTGGGCCGTGAGCGAGTGTGATGGTGCACGCATCCGCAACCTTGAAATGTTCAGAGGTCACATTCTACCTACCCTTCTAGCATGGCAGGAACACCTCAACAGCTCACTGACAAATCTCAGCTGATCATATGAACAACGTGTTTGAAGGTTCAAACATGGGTGGCTGGGTAGTTCCTGCCTGATGGCAACCCTTCATATGGGTTGGAGCACATGGTAGCCAATCACAAAAAAAAAAACCTTTTTTGGTGGATCGTCAGGCCTCGCATTCAACTCCCGAAACGGCAAAGGATTCAAACGCCAAGCTTCAGAGTTGGGAAGTGACATCAACCAACTTGCCCTCTAAGTGGAAGGGAATCTACCCCAAAATTTGCCTTTGAGAACTGCTCAAAACGCACCCACTTTAGGGGTAAAAATGCAGGGACTCTCAGAAGGAAGCCAAGGAATGGCAACCAAATGCAGGGTCCTAAGCCTACTCTACATATATATATATATATATACATATCTTCGATGATTCCATGGTGCTAGAACTCCAATGGATAGAAATCCAACGATATGGCTTGGACAGCTTGGTTGCTGGCGAGACCTCTCTGCAATAAGTTAATATTTTTTTGGGTGGTCCAATTCGGAAAATCGGGTCCGTTTCTCGAAAAGTTAAAGCCCAAAGATCCAACTACATCGCCAAAAAGGCCACGGCGGCCTGTTTCCGATGTGGGTTGACAACATGACTCTTGAGGCACAGTCACGTTCCACCTCCAGATTGCTTTTGAAGTGAACACACCTACCACTGGCAGCCCAAGTGGTATCAACCCCGGAACCCGACCGGAACTCAGCTCCCAAGCTGCTCCGAACCACCCCTTCTCGCTGATTTCTGGGCCCGTCGAGCCCATAGCATTCTGAACAATCGCCCTGGACCAGCTTTGCCCTTTTCAGGGGCAATCCTTTTTTGGTGGGTTTTTAAGGGAAGCCACCCACAAAACCACTACCTGGAGTCTTCATGACCCTCCAAAAATGGGGTCATGACCCCCCCCCAAAAAAAAATGGTCATGCCCCCCCCCCAAAAAAAAAAGACGGCGCGGACGCAGGAAGTGCCAGACGCTCACACATTCCCGCCAACGGCTCTTGCCACTTTTCCCGACACCCCGAATTCGCACGCAGTGGGAAATATATCGCTCAGTCCCCAACGGGCCTGCTGAAGAATCGGCATCCCTGGTAGGGTTTTCTTTGAGTTCCCTTTTGAGCCCAAGAATAGGTGGCCTCGAAAAATCCACACACACACACACACCAATACCAGGAATGCATGCACTTACTCGGAGCGGATGACGGTAGAGCTGCTGACTGATTGTGACTCAAACGACTGTTCCTGATACATGCAACTGGGCCAGTTTTAGTGGTTTCAGAGCTTGAAAACACTACACTAGCCATAAGCTACTCGCAAAATGTGTCCCCCAGTTTTCCTCCCGTGACTAGCATGCAACCTCACGTCGGCCCTTGCAAGTTTGCAAGTCCATTGGGTCCTAAGCTTCCGCGCATCGTGAAATGCTGGAATTCTTATGTGACGTTCATACATCTGTTTGGGTTTTAAAGCGTGTATGTATGTGCATATATATATATATATATATGTATGCCCTTTGGTGAACAGCATTTGCATTGAGATTTGTGTCCACCAACTTGTTGGCTTTTATCGCCTTTACCTTTGGGGGGAGGGGCGGGTCAGGTAGATCACCAGACAGATCACCTGCATAATTTCTGAAATTTCTGGATCCGCCCTAGTTCATGTTGACCCATATTAATCAGCCAACCAGTTGATTCATAGGGGGGTGTCTTTCCCCGGGTTTGGTGGGGAATCAGACCACTTTTGGAGGGCAACACCCCGATCACCTACTAATAAACTGGTTGGTTGATTGATATTGTGGGGTCAACATTGATTAACCTCGAAATGGGATGCTGGAACCTAGCTTCAGCAACTTGCGGCCAAGCATGAGGACCGGAAAGGGGTGTTTCGAATTTTGTTGGGATGTAACCCCGCTTGCAAGAGCCCGCCATTGAGTGAGCCACAACTTTGTTGCAATTTAACGGAATGGAATTGCTCTACCATCGTGAGGTGATATGGGTTCATACCCCACAACCCTTTTTCAAATGGCTTTAAATGTCAGTGCAGTCAAAAACAACGGGAACCTTGTAAGACAAACCCAATCCGCCGAGTGATCCACATAGAAACAGGGAAAAACGATGAGGACCGAGGTGAGCCCGGCTTGCTGATGCTAGCGGAGTCAAACTGACGCAGTTCAGCCTCCGAAATGGGCAAACCCTGGTGAGAGCCTTCACGCACGAATTGCCTCAACAATGAGAGCCCCCAATCTGGGCTTGGGTTGCTGTGGGCTTCCCTTGCAACACATCCCCCGAAGTAATTAATCTAACGGTTGACTCCCCATTCTTTTCCACCATCGTTCTTTTCAAACACCGGCCGTGTCCCTGGGTTTCCGGGGGTTTCGAGAAAGAAGGTCCCCTGGAAAGAATGGGGAAGGTAGCACTGGAATTAAGGATAGAACCAACTCCTCCAACCTCAGAAAGTGGAAGGCCCCTCAAAAAACACCCGGGTGGACCCCACTGATCCTCAAAAAACAGCACCCATACGGCATCTGCTTTTTGGCTGAGCTTTTGGCGAATAAAATGAGTCTTGTAGAATGATATTGAACAACCCAAAACAATGGGGCCAACCAGCAGGAAACACAGGGCTGAATTCCTTATGCATTATTTTCAACCATCATTCCTATCAAGAGACAACTTATGTTCTTGGGTTGTGGGCTGCAAAGGATCCCTGAAAATGGATAAGTTGCCAGACACTCGGCCCCCTCCCGCCCCTCCCATCCCCTCCCCTCCCCTCTCCGAAGGTTGGAGAAGCCAACATTAGACAGTTCGAGGATTCTGATCTCCAGATTCCAGGTTTCAGGTGTTCCAAAACGGGATTGGAGGTCCAACAAAATGCCAAGAACAACAAAAAAACACGCGCTGTTTTGCAGAAATTGCTCAGATTGTGTTGCCGTGGACCGAAGATTGTTCATTTCCCAAACAACATTTTTCCCCAACAACAGTCCATTTGCTACGCATTAAGCCTACATAAGGTTTATAAACTTGCAGGAAAGTTTATGAACCTTCTTGAGTGTTTGGCGTTTTCCGGCAACAAGGCAACACCCTGGTGAGTCTTCATGGTCATGGTATCCTTGAAGGGGGGGGTTGGAAGTCTCGGGGGAGAGGGGGGGCTGGAAGTCTCAGCAGTGATGTGTGACTCAACCAAACTTTGTTAAAGACTTCTCCCCCCCCCCCTGTCTTAGACTTCTCAACCTCCGCCAGGGTGCCCAGGTGTTGCCAGGTGTTGCCTTGTTGCAGTGAAAATTTCACACCCTTAACATAGTTTATAAACTTTCCTGAAAGTTTATAAACTCTTCGCTGGTGTTACTCAACAAACTTGTCACCCACAGAAACATGTGCAACACCAGCACACTTCTTGCGTATATGTGCTCACACCCCCTGTCTTTAAAATAAGAGGATTTTGTACATTTTGAAGTGGAAAGGAAGGCCATGCGGGGGGTGGGGGGTGAGCATATATATATATATGTATACTGTATATATATATATATATGTATATATACACCAAAAACTACGGTTGTTACATAGCCAAGTACCGAAGTGTGTAGTAGGTTGCGGCTTTCCCCTGGAAAAAAGAACGCGTCCAAGGCTTCTTCGGGCCCACAACTAGCACCAACATCAGCCGGTATACGTGTAAGCCTAAACCCAGGATTGAAATCCGGTCTTGAGGCCACATTACAACAAGGGGCTAAACAAGTTCTAACCTGTTCTTTAATATTGAAGTGCCCCGAATCCCCATTCTACTCCCTTCCTGAGTGGGTTGACCAAAACAGGTTTAAACCTTGTGTTTACCACTAAAAACATTGAGTCTAGCCGTTTAGCCCTCTTTATTTCCCAAGGTTGATCCAGGTCAAAAGGCACGCCCCGGTCCAAGTCTGGGGTGGGGCGTAAAATGGATCTCTCAGGTCAAGATGTGTGTGTGTGTGTGCGTTCTGTGAGGGTAGCCTATCCCACCTTGCTGCAAAGAGAAGTCAAAAGGACAACCATTCAACTCCTCATGTTGACACAAAAGGTTCGGCATGTGCAAAGCCCCGAGATCCTTTGATCAATGCCGAAGTGGAGTATCTTTCAGTGTCAACTCATCTGGGTTTAGATGGCCACAAATGCTCTTATGGCCTCGCGTCAGACTTGAAACGCACCTGGTCCTTTGGAGGTCCTTTCTCGGCCCCTCTCCGCAACAAGTTGAACAACTGTGCGGACATTTCCTGCAGAAGTTCTCTTGCTTGTGGGGAAGCACGCGTTCCGATGAGAGAAGTCAAGGATTGAAGATCCAGCAGCCAAGCCAAGCAATCTGGTCTGTCCAAACATGTCCAAACAGATCCCCTGATAAAAGTTCAACTTGTGGGTTGAACTCGGAAACCCAACTGAACCAACTAAAAAAGATATCTAAAACCCACTAAGTTGAAACGGATGGTGGTTCGGTTCCACCCAACAAACTGAATTGCAACCTCCACCCGCGAGCGGTTGCGCCAGCAGCACCCGCCAGCGTTGGCTCACGCCGCGTTCTCAGAGATCAGCTTCTTCACGGAGAGGCGGCGCCTCGATCGCGGCAAAGGGCGGGGTGGTCCAAACATGGCCGTGTCGATTCTGGAGTTCGCAGCCTTTCCTCACTTGCCCAAAAGACCTGGAAATAAAAGGTTAACCTTTTGGGACCTTTACTAAAGATGGACCAAAATGGGAAAACCAAAAGGTCAAAAGGTCGGCTTTGAACAACTGAGTTTCCTTTTCCGGTTGGATTCGATGGGCCTCAACTCTCTCCAATTGAGCCTCAAGGACCAGCGGAACCGGCTCAAATCCAAAATCCAAATCCAAACTAGGTCCTCCAGTAGAGAGGTTAGAAGAAGTTGGTACCCGATTTGTTTTCTGTAGTTTATTTTAGGGGAACCCTCCCAAGCAAAAATGAAATGGTCAAAGGGCACTGGCTGGGGGACCTAGCAAATGAAGGCCAGGGGCACCTGACAATTGGCTCGTGTGATTGCAACTCACCCGGAGCCCCTGACTCTTCTTTTGGATCCCTTTGATCATAGAAACCAGGAAACTAGCCAAAGAGAAGGGACCAGGAACCCAATCAACTCAGAGAAACTGTGATTGACTCGTCTTTTGGATCCCTAAAGGAAATTATACAGGAAACTAGCCAAATTCCCGCCCAAATCAGGGGTTTCCTGTAGAACTTCCTGTAGTTGGTTTGTTAGATTTGAACGTTCGAGACTTTCAGCCCGATGGCCATCACGTCTACATTGGTCCTCTTGGATGGCGGGAAACCGACAGGAAACTAACCCACTGGAGGAATCGACTGGTCCCTTTTGAGAAGTTTCTCCGCATAAGAACGCACCAGACAAAAACATTGGGTCCTCAACAAGGCCTTTTTGAGCTCAACCTTCCAATGGAGATCCAGAGTACACTGGAGGGTTTGGGGGAATTGCCCTGACCCGCTGAGTTGATCCAAGCACAGCTTCGGAGGGAATTGACCTGAGCAAATTGCCCAGCCAGTACTTATTGGGAAACAGTTTGCCAACGTGGGAAAGACCCTGCCCCACTTAGTCAAGGGTGCGGAATGTCCTATGTGTCTGAATAGGGCGTTGAACCCCCCAAAATGGGTGGGTTTCCGAAATCGGTTCTCCGCCACCAGCTGCGCTGAGACGGGGCCCGGGCCCTAGCACCGAGGGCAAATCCTCCAGGGACTCCAAGGGCCCTTGGCTCTTCCGGTGGGCCATCACCTGGCCAGCGCGCAAGCCCGCGAGGCCAGGCCGCGAGGCGCTGGAAACGGCTGGGCCGTTTCACCCCACCCCCCGGAGTGCAGCGGTTGGCAAACCAAAGAAGCAAAATGCGAGCTCCATGAAGGTTACTGGGGGGTTCCCCGTTTTTTTGGGTTTGGGAACTACTAGCATAAGTTTGCTCGTTTAGTTGTGATTGTTTTCCGGATCAACGGGAAGGTGCGAAAGCGCTCAAAAGTCAATAGCCCAAACGGGCAGCCAACTCTGACATGACCCAGGTTAGGATCCGTTAGCTGGGCCCGGCTTTGCCGCAAGCCCTGAGGGCAACAAACATGGATCTGTGAAACTGAGAGCTTAACATCGAGGGAATCTCCTGCAGGGCAAATCATGAAGACCGTAAAATGCACAGCTTCGCAAGCCCTGCGAAGCTGTGCATTTTAGGGGCTTCGTGATTTGCCCTGCAGGAGATTCCATCGATGTTAAGCTCTCGGTTGGGCGCCACAACACCCCTTTTGAAAGAAACGCAAAACGTGTAGGCGATTCATTCGCCTACATGCGTCCCTCCATGTGCACGAGAATTCGGTCCGCCCTTTTCTGCTCCGGCTGCGCATGTCGATGTGATGTCCGTCTCGAGCTTACACCTGCGTTCCAAGGTCTTGAGCGGGCAAGGAGTCAAGCCGGGAAAACAATTTTGAACCTAGCTTGACGCTTGTCGAAATCGCCTTCTCGCGTTTTCCGAAACGAGCCGAAACGGGTCTTGTTTCAAGCATACCTGGACTTTCATCGTTACATAGAATTGTGCCCTTTGGGCGTTTCGTAGCAGACATTTGGTAATCGGGCGATTTTTTGTTTTGGGGGGGAAAGGGCCCAAATTTGGATTCGAGCATTCATGGCTATTGCGGAGGCTTCTCCCTTCTGATATCGTCTGTTGCGTGGAAACATACCTGAAAAACGGGCGCAAATACCCGCAACGCGAGCGCAAATACCCACAAAACCAGCGCAAACCAAACAATTGGTATTTTGCAAGAAGCCCATGCAAGAAGCCTGTGTTCATGAAACGAGCCTTTTTGGGTGAACGATCACTTTTTGAATCATTGGATGAAAACAGTTGGCCCGAGCATTGTTGCTTCGTGACACAAATTGCGACAATGGGAGAGCCAGGTATGTTGGCCCGATGGGCGCCCGTTTTGGAAAGACCTGAAGGGGCCAAAGGAGGGCCTTCCCCACTTGAAGTTGGCCTAAAAGGTCACGTTTACGGCCTAATATTCCCATGTGCTTTGGAAGGCAACTAATAAATTGGTTGACGTCCAAACCCAGAACAACTGCCAATCACCACCCATGGGAAAACAAACAACTCGTCTGTCGTCTAAATATTTTGGACTAAATATATTGGACTAAATAGTTAGAAAAGGGGTTGCGGGGTACTTTAAGCTCAAATGTCGCCATGCGGAATAAACTGTTAATAATTGTTCAGCCACTAATTGCTTGGGGTGCTCAAGGAGCAGTGCTGCGTCTGCATGCCCCCTGTCCGGTCAGCTTCTTCTGTGTAGAGGGATCCAAGAAAGCAAACAACGACCAGTGTGGGTGTCTGCTTTATAGGACCCCAAGAAGGGTGGCGTCCTTTTGGTAGTTTCCCTGCAAAACCAACCAAAAGAGCGTCCCCCCCCCCCAAACAAAGCTTTATAAAACAAACAAGACAAGGCCCCTATCTTGTTGCTGACTCGATTCGTTGCCCCTGGCAAACTTCAAACCTTGCAATGGCCAAACGCCAGTTTTTATTGAACTCTTGCGCCAAGAACCCAGCGCAGGGTTCCCCTTTCTTCGTTCAATCATCACACCTGCTACCAAGTTTCCGGCACAACGAAGAACGGCGACCTAAAAGCTGGCGCATAAAGCAACAGATTCAAAAAAACAAATCGACGGGTACCCCACCACACCAGAAGGCCGAGTCGTCCGCTGAACCTCGGCTCGCGCATCGCGCATCGCGTGCCTTGAAGCCACGGGAGCGTCTGCGACCGCGGGCCTTTTCGAACTTCCGCCCCTTGGACCGCACGTGGGGCGCCGTGGTGCCTCAGGATTCGACAGGGATTCGACAAGTAAACGTTTGTTTACCAATTGAGCCTCTCCAGCGCAAGTCGCCTTACCAACTTGGAGAAGCTAAGCGGGTGTGTCTTGATTTTGGGTCACCCGGTTGTTTTTCCTTTTGGTTTCCCTTTAAAACCCACCAAAAGGGCGTATACCCTCAAAAACGACAAACCCGATTACCTTACCGCTTGGTGGCTGGGTTGGTGGTTCAGAAAGGGTACCTCAAGACCGACTCGGCCGTCCCAAACGTACGACAACCAACGGCCTCTCCCAGCGAACCTCAAAGTACAGGGGTGTGAGTTGCCCTTTTCCGAAGTTTTCTTCGATGCCTTGATGTCGGACCCCTTTTTGTCGCCCAAAGTGGGAGCGCTTTTTGAAGCGGCAACAACACGGGACTCCAAGCGCATGGGTTCCTATGAAAAGCCAACACATTGCTTCAGGACTTGGGAGCCTCCACAAGCCGTTGGCTTTTGCAGCTTCTTCGTATGTGGAAGCCACACGGGGCGAAAACCCCTCCCTTTGTGTGTTTGCAACTATGTACCGCGCACCTTGTCGCCGTTTCGGGCTGCTTGTTACGTAGGTGTGTGCCTGGAAAAACCAGCGCTTGACAAGAACTCGCAGCACGATGATTGCAGCTCGGCAGTCCCAACTAATGTTGACCCCGGATTAATAAACCCCTGGTTGATTAATAGGGGGGTGGGGGCCCCTCCAAAAGTGATGAATCCCCACTAAAATCAGGGACACCCCCATATTCATAAACAGGGGTTTATTAATCCTGGGTCAACATTATGCAGTACAAGCACTCTACGCTTTGCGCGCGCTTCTGCTCCGGCATGAAATTTGTAGCTATTCAACGACAGCCAGGCGACGGCAAAAGGGGTCCCCGGCCTGGGGTTGGGTCTGTAACGAGGTGTGTGACGGTTATGCAACGAGGGAGGCAACGCGGTAGGCAACGAGGTGGAGTCTGTTTTCCAGCCTACCTGTTCCAACTTTTCTTCTGCATGGCACGCTCTCTGCAAGTTGACTCTTCAGGGTATGTGCAGCGAAAGCGTGCTCCGCAAAAGTCTGCTCTGCAGGCACCCAGGGAAAATCAGCGAGAGTGTGGGGGTGCGAATGGTGCTCTGCAATGAGGGGGCATGCAACCAGCCAGGGTGGTTTGCTCATGCGAAATGTAACGAGGGGTGTTGAACGAGCCAAAAGGTCTTGTTACATAGAGTATGTAGAAGGGTATGTAAAGAATGTCCACCGCGGCTCTGTTGCAAACCCTGAAAAACAGATCACTGCCACATCTATCTATATATATATAGGGCCCACGATAGCTTAAATACGAAACATGCCGCAACTAAGGGTTTCTGGTTGACAGGACTGACTTTGGCTTGAACAACAACTGCTGAAAGGTACCTGGAGTCTCCATGACCCGAAATAAACACAGGTCCATGACCCCATTGGGTAATTACCCCATTTTTAACGGGTCATGGAAACTCTAGGTAAGCATTTTATTTTCCTGGTGGTTTCAGACCAGGCGAATCCGGGTTCTTCAGATCGAGGTGCTGCCGGGCACCCCGGGGGCCTTCCCGAAGTGGCGGTTCGCCTGAAACCGAAGCCGGCGGGCGCCCCACGTCGCTTTTCGGGGGGAGAACCAAAACCCCAAAGCTTCTGGCGTCCTTCTGTTTTTGTCTTTCGTGTTTATGATTTGCTGTTTTCGTTGGATTGAAATATGAGCTGAACCTGTCCCCTCTTGGTGTCCTTGTGGGAAAATCGGACAAACATCTGGGGTTGTTTGGGCTCCCAGCTTCCTTGAAACCTTAGGGGCAAAGGGCTAAGGGTCCCCCAACAAGGAGAGGAACCTCTATGTCCATCTTGGCTAAATGGATCCAATGAGGAAACCTGGGCCACAGCCAAGGCAGGCGTGATTCCGTTGACCTATGGGTAACCAGTGCTTGGTTGACGTTGGGTTTGGGGAGCAAAAATGTAAACATGTTAGCAGTTAAATATGGATTTCTGACTAAACCACAATAAGCAAAAATATAAAAAGTTTCCCAACAACAACCATGCCATGGCGAAGAGTTTTCCCGAAACGCCTGGGATCGGAGCCTGAGTTGCGCCCAAAGTGGGCTGCGAAACAACGCAGAAAGAGCCTTGAAAGGACGGTTCATCCAGTCACCGGTGAGTTCGGGGAGACAAAGCCGCAGTTTATGTTCAAAGCCTCAATTCTTGAGTGGATTGGGCAACAGACATCCAAGCTTGTTATTGACTAAAATGGTGACCTACCAAGTACAAAGTCTCAAGAACTCAGGAAGTACTTCTCCCAGGTGTTGCTGGTAAGCAACCTTCACGTGGTTGAGCCAGCAAACTTGGACAACCCTGGCGGGCAGAGAAACTGCCCTGAAAATCGAAGGACCTCCGGAGACCTGACCCCAGCTATGATCGCGAGACTCGGAAGGATCCCCAACCATCTCAAGTCCCACAAGGAGACTCCTGGTTTCACGGGTGTTGGGGCGTTGGTGGCTTGAAGGACTCATACCTTTGGCATCCTTCGCAATTCTCTCCTTTCCGCTAACCGCAAACTACCAAACCTCCCTGAAACTGTCCCTTCCCGTCGCAAGTTGATCAATCCTATCGTCATCGGGGCTTCCCAAACCCCCCACAATCCTCCCTTTGAGGTAAAAAAAACAATCGTACTGCAAACAAACCACATGTTCACCTTGAGAACCGCTTCTTCACCTTGCGATTTCCGTTTCTTTTTGCGGCACTCACAGTAGCCATCGAGCAAGATGCTCAGGTCTTTCTGAGCCTTTGGCTCGGGATACTTTTCCCTTCAAAGTGACATGGAACCCAAATTGGGTGCAATTCCCAGTTTGGAGATTCCCTTCTTCAAGTGCTTTGGGGTTCCATGTTAATATGCATAGCAGAAACTCGGAAAATCTCTGCTTAGGCCGTCCCCCACCCTTTTTCTGGCCCAACTTGGTCCATCAAACGTAGTACTTGCAGATTATGGTCTTTGATATCCAACCTGAAAGCAAAACACCCGGTCACCCCCGACAAACACCCAATTATTAGCTTTTGAAGCACAACAACTGAATAAAAACAAGAAAACCAAAACGCTATTGAATGACCGCAGTAGTTGGGGGTGGTTTCCCGGATACCCTCTATGAGGAAGCAAGGGGTAAAATCCCCAGTGCTTGGTTCGGGGTTGCCAGCTACCCGCTATGAGAAGCAAGGGTTCAATCCGAACCGCCAATCCAAGCCACCCAGGGGTTGCTGGCCCCATTCTTCCACCAGTATCAAAGTCGCCCAAGTGGTAGTTTAAAGGAACACCACCCCAATAACCCTTTGCATAACCCTTTCTGTGAAAAAAAAACAGACATGTGTCCATTAGGGAACTGGTTTCCCTTTGAAACCAACAAGGGAAACTAAACAAAAAGTCATTTCAGCACTTCGAAGAGGGCACGCTTACCTCCGTATCGCTGGTTTTCGGGTCACCTCAACCACCGACGAAACCAAAACGGCGCCTCTCGGCTCTTCGGGCCACGCAGCAGCACCGTGCCCTGGCAAAACATGGAAATCGCGCTTCTGGGGCGCTTTCGTCGAACGAACTAACCCAAACAAACAAACTAACCAGCCAACCAACCCAACGAACTAACTAACAAGCTAACAAACTACAGAAACCAACCATACTTTTGTGCCAGACTTATCTAATCGGTTGCAAAAAGCCGGGCGGTTCTCAAACGGCTTGTTCAGTGACTTGAAAAAGGGGCCCTTTGTGTGTCTTTTGTTTGGTTTTGAGCTTTCACATTTGCTGCAACATCCATGAACATGTCCATAAATTAATGTATCGTTCAAAACAGCTCTGCTCTGAATCGCGGGTTGCGCGTCGTGAGGTCCAGCAAAGTCCGACCACTCCTTCGAACCCATGGAGTGTTGCAATAGACTCGATACGCCATGAACACATAGGCTGCAAACCCACAATCACGCGACCATGTTGAGAGGCATGCCCTTTGTGAAAAAGGGCCGCACCAACATCCGTGAACTCCAAAACGCCTTTAGGAGAGCATCACCAAATCAACCAGGTATCGAAGAAGTTCAACACACAACATGTAAGTACCACCTCCAATTGGGAAGCTCTCAACATAAAATCTAAAACAGGGAGCTCCTTTTGTCAAAAGCAGATTCCAAGCAGGAACAGAGTTTGCCAGGGTGCATGTTCGTACTCATCTGAATATTCGTTTCCTTCTGAAGTTGACAATTATGTTCGATGAATCGCTCGCAGGCAGGCTCTGGAGTATTGCGCAATCTGACTTTTTCAGACACTTCCAATACCTAAAGTGGGTGTCTGTTTTGAGGCTCCCCTAAAAAACAATGATATTGATGGATCCCCCAATTACGGGTGCTCGCTCGTGTTGACCAACAATCATGGATGGAATCGCTTGCCACAAACTCGGCAGCGATTTCTCCCGATTCGATCTCGGGCTCTGAGTCACAATCAAAACCTGCCGAAACCAACGTGAAACACATCAAGGAGGGTCGGACAATTTACGGTTGAAACTGTCTCTGACTATCCTTCCACTAGGGTGCGACTAAGCCAAAATGGGAATTGTGTCATCTACATTTCGCAACTATAGAGCTTGCAAATCCCCCCGTTGCTCAGTAGCACCGTCTCAAAAAGCCCCGTTTTGCTTGGCTTTGGGACCCCAAAATAACATCGACCAGATTGGAATTGCAAATCAAACATATGATTTATATGTTTGGTTTCAAAAGGGTCATTCCCTTGGTTACCTCTACAGGAAACTCGGTGGCTCAACAATAGGAATGGAAGCCTAAATGGAAAAGTGGACTAAAACTGGTCCCCTGGCTCTGAAAAGTTGAGCCTCCCAATTGGAATCGGGCTAAATCCCGGGTTTTGATCGCATGCCTTGCCCATGGGCGAGCGCATCGCCAGTTGATCAAAGGTCATGCACTCACCGCCGGCCTGAGGGGCCCAAGAGGCTGAATCGCGTTGGACAGGATTCTCCATTCTTTGTGTTTGGCTTGGTTAGAAGTTAAAATAAAACCACCCATTTTAGGGATTCCCTTGTTTTGACACATGTTCGATTCGGTGGATTTCCCTCTTTATCCGTGCTTCGAAGCTATCTCCACCCTGGTTGCGTCACGCTCTGAAGTATCCGTTTCTTGTCGCCTTACTCGGAGGGGTTTGGGGCCCAGTCAGGCCAGGCAGCCTTTCCAAGCTGGATTCAGGTCAGAAAGAAGAGTCTCATGTTTGTCTTCAAGTGAGCCACAATCAAAACCGATTCGGGTAGATGAAGGTTAGTCAAGGACGATCCCAACCAATAATTGCCGCGGCCGCCTTCTTAATCCTGTACATGGTTCTGGGTAGACCATTTTAGTACCACAAGTCGCCAAAACAATCAGATATCCAACCACCTTTTCGGGCTTACCGGATTCAGGAGGCCTAGGCAAACTGGGTGTCCCCTGAAAGGATGGTTGTCCCCCTCAAAATGCGGGTGTTCCCTTTTGGTTTTTAGCTAATCGGATTTCAGGACTCCCCTTGATCATTGAGATCCTGAGGAACCTGGTAGGATGAAACTGAGCTGGGAACTCCTACGGCAGTCACTGCTAGAAGGTCCTCAGCCATCACTTGGCTCAAAGGATGCTGAACACCGGGCTGTCCTCAGATCCCCTACAAAAAGTTGAACGTCCTCAGATCCCCTAAAAGTTCAACTTCTAGTGGGTTGAATGGACCGATTCCTCCCCCCCAAACCAACAAAGCAAGAAATAAAAGAACCAAATGGACGGCTGGGAACCACTAAGACCATAGGTGGCCACCTCTGGAGGCCTGGCCTCTTGCGCCGACTCAACGGGCTTGAAAGGGGAGGCCTGCCTTCGATTGGCGGTTGCCTCGTGTTTTTTTTTCATATGGGTTCCTCCTTTTTGTGGGAGACCTCCCGAAACTGGCTTCGGCTTTCCTGTTGGTTGAGGAAATCTATGGAACAGCTGCAAGCTTTCTGGTGTTCCCGAACCAGTTTCCAGTTGACCAGTAATTAACGGAAACCTGTTTGGGGTTGAACCATCATGTCAACTTCAGAATCCTTCCAATCATCTTAAGCTTTCTGGAAAATAACACATATTTCCAGTGGTCGATTCCCTTTAAAGCCTTTTAGCAAGGAATGAACTGCTTTATATAGGGGTTCCTCCTAACCGGGTTCCTCCAACTAAATCTGAAGATAGCATTTGCAGTGAAGCTACCGCCCAGCACAGCGGCGAAAGGCGGGTGCGCGCCCGGGTGATCGGTTCGATGCCTGCCTTCAGGATCCGTGCCCGTGCGGTTTCGGTGAACTGCAGCGCGCAAACCGACCTCGAGCGTTGGATCCATGTCTTCAGCAGGGTGGTTTCTTGCTGGTGCGACAGGTAGGGAATGAGGGAATGACACTTGTAAAGCATCCCACTGGTGGTTTCCTTTGAGGGGACCCATAGGGACCCCTGGGTTCATTCCCACATTGCCTACTGAGCACCAGCAAGGTTGCGAATAACATCGAGTGGCAAAGGATTCAACCCGAGCACCTGAAACGTAAGGCAATCAACCCAAAGAGCATCCAAGCAGGGGAATCTCCTTGATCGGACCGCCCCCAACAAGTACTCAAGAAAGTAGTCACAATTGGACTTAGCCTGTCAGAAAACATGAGGACAACCGAGCCAACAAAAGCATATCACGAGTGTTCTAGTCACGACCCCCATGCTAAAACAAGTTGTTTTATGCCAGTGAAAGGAATATGTATATATATATATATGTATATGTATGTGTACATACACATATATATATATATATATGTTTATATATATATACACATATGTTTGGACACCCTGGTTCGAACCAACGAGCTGCCAGGCCAATTCCCGAGCTGCACTGTGGAGAATACCATGTAAACAAAAGCATGCCCTTGGGTATCATATTGAGTTCCAAAGAACCACACAACTCAACTCAACACACACACACAACCCTTCAGTCATAAAGGCACCGGTAGCCAGTCATACTTAGCAACACGTTGTAAGAACTTAAGGCGACAACTCACTTGCAATCCAGGATGGAGAACAAAAACACATGTGGCTGGGCAAAGCCATGGGAAATTCTAAAGCTTGGAACATGAGCACAGGCTGAGAAGCACAGCTTGCTGAATGAGCCACGAGCACCCACTACGGGGGTCTTGGGATGTTCCGAAAACTCCGTGGGATCATCACGCAGGTATATTCCCACAGAGTTGACCCTGCAGTCAGCCTTTTGTAAGGGGGGCGGGGGTCTGTATTCCAAATTGGAGGATCCACCCTATAACCCAGCAGGAGGGCTATAAATCCCGCATTCGATGGGAGCCCCGGATTCATTAACTCCCAGTTTATCAACAGGGTGTCTCTGGTTTATTGGCGAATCAAACCACTTTGGAGGGGGGCCCACAGTGCCATGGACACTTGCATATCTTCCAACCTGGAACCCCAAAAGATCAATGCCCTAAAATAAGGAGGTTGCCAAACGGACCCCTTCAGTGTCCATCATACGGGCCCCCACACCCCAAACTTTCAAAGGATGGTGTGTTGTTGTTTCTCTTTTGTTCCGGAGTCCACATGGGTTTGCTTCAACAGCCCTTTCACCAGGCTCAGTTTTGTGGCTTTCGTTGAACGGAGCAACGCGCGATATAACCCTTCCGCAAGTTACCCTCAAAAACAGGGTTCACATTTCCCAAACAACCGAGGGTTACCCAGGAAAAAACAGCCCGATGTTTGCTGGTGTGTGCGGTTTGCCGAGGGGGTAGTGGGATCCAAACAGAAACAGGACAGCACCACAAAGAACGTCAGTTGCCGGCTGGCGGCTCATGATTTTCAATATATTCCACGTGGTACCTTCGCCATGGTTTCGAGGGATCCTTCTTTCCAAAAAACCTCCAGACACCAGGGAAAACGTGTTTTTTTTTTTTTTTATCCCCGATGGTTGAACAGAATGGAAAAGGAATCAACCCCTATGGTAAAGAATATTCTATTCTCCTCCTGCCCGCTTTGCCATGGAACCAAACTTTCATGACGCTTGCGTCAAGTTCCATCGTGACGGGAGGGTACCTCACTTTGAGCCTTTCACAACTCGCCAAAGGCACAAACATGGATGCCGCACTTTGAGTGAGGGGCACCCCAGGTTCGGAGGGTCCCAATGGATGTTTTTCTGGGGTGCCAGCATCCTTTCCCGAAGCCCAATTCCCGAGAGGGCATAGGCAGCAACTAAGAGGGTACCGCGCGGATCTGAAAAAGAGCAAAATTGTATCCCATGGCCATGAGAGATACTTCTTGGAACCAAACCAAGGCTCAAATGAGTCGCGAAGTGAAACACTAAACTCTTGGGATCACCACTCGGAGCTTTGGGGGGGTTCTTTCCCACTCGCTTTGGCCAACCCCCAACCTGTTTGACCTCCATGGGGCTCAAAAACCAGGGAACCCTTGACCCCCCCCCCCGGCTATTCGGACCTGGAACTTGAAGGTGATCACCTTTTGGGGCAACTAAAAATGGACGAAAAGGAAGGAAACCAAAAGGGTCAAAAGGTTGTTTCAGAAGAACGGGGGCTAATATAACCTCCATTATGTACCTAAGGATTTTCATCCAAATTGGGTCAACCGCCTCCAAAGCAGGCCAAACATGTGAACCTTGTGACACTTGGCCAGATCTCTCTCGTCCTGAAACTCCTTGGAAGTGCAAGTAAAACTCGTGACACTCGGAAGAGAAATCACCGGCAAGGAACCCGGGGCGTGGCGCTTTCAGCGAACCGGCCAGAAGCCAGGCGGCATCTTGGGCACCTCGTAGAGCCGCTTGTCGTCCGTCACAGTGCCCACCACCACCGCGGTCTTGCCCTCCTGCCGACCGACCCGAAGCACCCCGTGCGGTCGGTAGACCCCGTCCTCGGCCACCCACGGCACCTTTAGCCTCTTGCATGGTAGCCATACATGGTTCAGGGGCTGGATCATGTCTACATTATAGATTTAATATTGATAAGTACACCTGCGAGCATGTATCTGCATGTATGTGTGTATCTGTATATTAAAATGCCAAAATAGGGCGGCTGCCAAAGATCTTGGGTGTCCCTTTAACATCAAACAGTGCAAAAACAACGGCACGCCCTGGTCGGTCTGTTTTGCAGCGGGTGCGGGACCGCAAAGCGCCTTGTTGGCCATGTTCTTCTGGAGCTTCGAGAGCGACAGCGGGGGCCGGTTGCGCCCAGACATGTTCAGGCGCTTGTAGATGACCTGCGAAAACTGCGGGGAAAGAACAACACATGCGATTTGTTGGACCAAATCCTTCAGATGTCCTTCAAATGATTGGCTTCCCTTAGGCACTTTAGGCTTCCCCCTACCACGCAAAAAGATAAGTCACAACTGCTCGTGTGGTGGGCATGGTCATGGTTCCCTTTCACGATAGCCTAGCATGCCTACTAAAGGGCTCATGACTGTCCAAACTAACCCCAGGTAAGCAGGGCGTTCAAGTCCTGGAAACCTACTTGCTTGCCCGCGAGGACAAACAAGTAGCTTGGGTGGGTCCGTGCTTTTGTGGGCCCACTGTGGGCAAGCAACCATTTGGGTGTGGCTCAAAATTATACAGGAGGGGTTACGCAGGTTTTGGTCAATGTTTCCACTTACCAGGGTTCCATTTTGGAATTCCGGTTTTTTGAGCCACAGCCATTTTCAGACGGTGCTCAATATTTGAGAGTGATTTTTTTGTTCCGGGAGCCCCCAAAGTGGAGGCTTTCCTCTTGGTGCAAAACCAACCAAAAACAAGGCGCCCTCAAAAAACACACGCCCATTTCGTCTACCCTAAAATCTTCAGTCTTGAAGGAGACCCCAAACATCCGTCTCAACACTCAAGTGAATCGGCTCAAAGCACCCTGGCTATTGAATGGTGTGTTCAGTGACCCCCCAATTTGGCGAAAGCGGAACCATTTAACAGCCATTGGGCGGGTCTTGTTGCTTGGCTTCGGGAAACTCTGCGCGCAGGTCAAAGTACATCCTCACAGGTTGGTCTTTTGGGCTCACTTTCTGAGTGGACTGGCTAAAAAAGTTCAAACTTTTGATTTGCCTCTAAAAAATGTTTTCCGAAAAAGTGACTAAGGTCCAATAACACAGTGAGTGAGAAAATGGGTTTCCGCTTAAACAGGCAAACCTGTGCGCAACACCCCTACAACAACTCTTGCGTTCAACCCCCGTTAAAAGAATGGTTGACCCAATTTGGATGATGACAATTAGGTAAAACAATGATGGTTCTATGAACCCTCTTTGTTTCAATGGTGGCCTGAACCCCAGGGTCTTTGTTTGTCCGACGCGTGAGGGCCTTGTTGAACTTCGACTCCGTGCGACGGGCCAGGAACTTGTAGAGCTTGCCTCAAGCCGAAGGATCCGGCTTTGAAAGCCGAATGCCCGGCTTTTCATGTCTTCGTCTGTGCTTCCGTGTGTTGTTTTGCTTGATGATGTCTCAGCATTCATGCTGACTCATGCGAGTCTGCGTCTGTGTCTGCGTCTGCGTCTGCGTCTGTGGCTGAGTCTGTGTGCGTGTCAGGCGTGCACGGAGTGTGTGTGTGTGTGTGAGTGTGTGTGTGTGTGAGTGTGTGTGTGAGTGTGTGTGTGTGTGCGTGTGTGCGTGTGTGCGTGTGTGTGTGTGTGTGCGTGTGCGTGTGCGTGTGCGTGTGCGTGTGCGTGTGTGCGTGTGTGCGTGTGCGTGTGCGTGTGCGTGTGCGTGTGCGTGTGCGTGTGCGTGTGTGTGTTTGTGTTTGCGTGCGTGCGGGTGCGCGTGCGGGTGGGGTGTGTGCGGGTGTGCAGACTGTGCGCGTGCGCGCGCGTGCATGCGTGCTTGCGTCCGTGCTTGCGTGCGTGCATGCGTGCGTGGGTGCGTGTGTGCGTGCGTGGGTGTGTGCGGGCATGGGTGGGTAGGTGAGTGAGTGAGTGAGTGAGTGTGTGTGTGTGTGTGTGTGTGTGTGTGTGTGTGTGTGTGTGTGTGTGTGTGTGTGTGTGTGTGTGTGTGTGTGTGTGTGTGTGTGTGTGTGTGTGTGTTTGTGTGTGTGTGTGTGTGTGTGTGTGTGTGGGGGGTGCGTGGGTGCGTGGGTGCGTGCGTGCGTTGTGCGTGCGTGCGTGGGTGTGGGTGTGCGTGCGTTGTCCGTGCGTGCGTAGGTGGGTGGGTGTGTGTGTGTGGGTGGGTGGGTGGGTGGGTGTGTGGATGTGTGCGTGTGCCTAATAATAAACACACACAATGACCAATACAGTAGTTGATGTCCAACATATATATATGTATACAATATATATAATGAATAGGCTTAAACATACTCATACGTGTTCTTTCGGCAAACCCCTTTCGGAAGACAAATGTCTCAAGGCCAAAGCCGATTTGATCTCGCGGGGGTGGACACCAGACTTGGAATTGTCAAAATTGTCTTCGGAGCTACGGATCACTTTTGTGGGGTGCTCCTGAAGGTTGGCTTAAAGAGAAACCAAGCATATCGCCATGTCAAAGGGAAACCCCCGAGTGGTAGGTTTGGTCTCCCTAAGTCCGGGCAATGTGGAAAAGCTCTCTGTCAAACTCCGACGAGCTATTAATTGTGGTTGTCAAGGGACACCCCAAAACGAGGTCCCCCCAATCGCAGGGGTTCACAGCGGCTGGGAGGCGCTTTGTGTGCCTTTTCTAGGGCCCCTCTTTAGCCACAACCTTGCATCTGCTTTAGCATTCTGGGATATTCTGAGGAAAAAAAACTTATCAGTTGTGATAGATTCCCGTGAAAAACCAACAGGGGAAATTGGAATAACACATCCTCTGAAGCAAATGGAAGCCAAGCTGCAGAGCAGCAGGATGTAGGGGTTCGGCGTCTTGGCCTCGCGGCCTTTGGTGCTCTTCTTCCTTGGACCAGGGAACGGGAAGTAAAAGCCGGCCCCTTGCGAACAAACATTTAAAACAAACAAAAAACATACCAGGTCCCCAATAGTGCCCTTTTACCCTTTTTTCGGGGAGTGTTCCCCTACCAAAATAGGCTACAGAAAAAAGGGGGTACCCTTATTCTAACCTCTCTACTGGAGGACCATAATATGGGTATGTTCGTTTTGAGGGTACCACGCATTTTGGTGGTTTCAAAAGGAAACCCAAAAGGAAACAACACGCAACATGACGGGAACCCGAAATGAAGCCAGACCCATATACTTCTTTGGCAAGAATCATGGATAGGTCCAGTGGAAACTCGATGATCCCTGCTGAATTGTAGATCTTAAAGGGAAGCCCGTACAAACAAGCTCACAAACCCACACATGTTCGGCCCAAAAAGTGTTCAATTTCCAGGACAAAAGAATCGGCAAGAACCCGGAACCCCCCCGATGGCTATCAAATGGCCATTGGGGGGGTCCTGGTTGTTGCTCGATTATTTACAGGGAAACTCATCCCAAAAAAGAGTGACAAGGGCACGCGTTGTTTTTGCGTGCAGTTTATTTACAGGAAAACCCCATCCCCCCCAACAAAAATGAGAGTCTTCCATTTGCTAAGAGGCAAGAAACACACAACTCTAGTAGTGATAGACTGATTCCCTTGAAAATCAACAGGGGAAAATCAACACATCTCGCACTTCCTGAGTTGATCGGCAAAAAAACAACAACAACTTTATGCTTGCCACTAAAATGCTCTTCCCAAAAAGTGACCAAACAATCCATGAACTCAGGAAGATCTTCGTTTCAGCAAATGAAAGCAAAGGGCACTCTGGCCGAGCTTCAATCGCCCCCCTGCGATGATGTCGATCCCCATGGCGACGCTCGGCTTCGGGATTCGGCTTCGTTCGCCTACCAGAGCAAACCTGGAGCCAGCGGATTTGCCGTGGGGCTAACCTGGTACGACCTCGTCGCAGGGCGGGGTTTAGACTGGAGCTGACGTCAAACTGACGAAACCGGACAAAATTGGAGGATGAACCGCTCGAGAATGTGTGTGGGCCCTCCATGTCCTCCCCAGCGAACAATAGATACATGTGTATATATATATATATATATAATGTGTACATATACGTTTATACATATTATCTATATACATAAAGGTGCCACGTATGGAACTTGATACCAAAGCTTGGATTACCATCGCCATCTCTACTATGTCGCTTTATGGAATCCCTATGCGGGGGCAGGTGAAAGCGGGTGGGTAGTTAAAAGTCCCAGGGACCCTTAGGGTTTCTTAGCCCTCGTCGGGTTGCACTGCAACGCAAATGGCACCTGCCTCAGAACAGGGGCCCAATGCAGAACCTGTGCCAGGGACACAGGAAGAAGCCCAAATCCCTCGCCGAAAGTGGTAAGGGAACAGGCGACAGGGGAAGCTGAGGTACAGGCAGTTTAAAAAAACAAAAACAACTTGAACTCAAATCCCACCATAATTAACCTTAACTCATGTCGATGCCGGGCTAACCTGGTGGATAAGCACGGAGCTTGCCCCAAAACTGCAGGTTTCCCTCTAAAAATGGACACCAGGACGCTCCCCATTCAAAACAGATGTTTATTGGTCCTGGGATGCGCAGCTTTGAATCGCTCTTGTTTCGAGTCGCTCACATGTGTTTAGCCGGAAACCGGCCGTGAATCATGTGCAGTCATGCTACGAGCCAAATATGGATATGCGATAAAACAAGGGGGACCTCCCATGGTTGGTTCCCCATTTCCTCAAAAGCAGCCCTTTGTGGATACCAACTCCAAAAATGACACCACATAGAAACCCAGAAGATTCCTCAAGACTCAGGGGTCACTAGATGTCCCCCTCAAAAGTTGCAATTTGCTGGTGGTGTCCGTTGAAACGATCGCCACTTCTGGAGGTTCCCTTAAGGGAAATGGCTCGCAAACCCTGAGGCACTCAAAGGAGGAACATGCTGAGACAACCCCTGGGAGGCCTTCTTGACGTCCTCAGACTTGAAGCCTTTGATGATGGACATCTCCTACGTGCAACTCGAGACTTGCTTTGGTCTGAGACTCCCTTCTACCCCATTTTGGCGGTGGTTTTCAAGGGAACTAGCCACGCAAGTGGGGGTCTCCCTATTTGGGTGTGTCTGTTGTTGACGGTACCCCTTTTGGGATGGTTTTAAACGGAAACCACAAGGAAACTACTGTAATCATTTCCCCTATTTTGCGACAACCCAATTTCTGCCCCCCCCATGCTTTGCCCAGTGCTTCCACCTCCCACAGGCAACCAGGGGAAATCACGTAAACATACCTTCGAGGCTCCCATTCAACAAAAGTCAGATTGATATTTGATCAGGTCCAGGCTTGATCCTCTGGAAACCTGAAGGTAAAGAACTGCTGAAAACAAGACACTCCAAGTAGACAGGTCCTGCAACCAACGTCTGAGGTTGGTTTCTAACACGGCCATGCCGGTCTTGGCCTTCATAATCTAGGCGTTTTTTATAACCCCCGGTGAAACCAGCTTCTTTGAGCCACACAAATGGCCATGGGTGTCCTTGTTCGCTACTTTGCATAGGGACTCAACCATGAGGATGCCAACTTCATCTTTCAATCTCATTCCCAACCAAAGCAAATCCAATCCCCGAACCAACCAACGCCTGCCATCTCTCTTCACGGAGGAAATGTGGACCACATGGGCAGCCATGTTGACACCCACCACGTGTGCGCATCCGACATACTCAAGCCAGGGCATGCGGCAGCTGCGCTTGACCCCATGGGCAAAGATCGATGTCCCCACTCTCGCATGGCAAAACAACCACCCCAGTTCAGATCATGCTGAAGGGATATGCGCGAGAAACTAATGCGACAAGACAGATGCTACCAACCATGCGAAATGCACGAAACCCATTGTGCTCCCTACTTGCAATGCTGTGGATGGACAAAATCCTGCACCACCCAGAAACCCTGGAATGATGATTCCCCTGTAAATATCAACGACGTTTCCCGTGGTTTCTTGGGTGGTAAATATTTTGGTACATCCACAGAATGAGTATGTTTGATTAAGTGGGGATCCTGTTGTGGACATGGTCAGGGTTGCGCATGCTTGGCAGGGTGGTTGAAATTCGTAGCTACCTGAGTGCCCTCTTCACCTGTTCACTTTGGGTTCTACCAAGATGGTTACGAAAATTTATACTGGTCTTGCGATAACCTGTATAAGCCCAGGTAGTAGAACCACCTACTAAAATGGCTAGTATGTTTTGCTCACATGAAGAGTTCAGCATGTTTGCGCCGTCACATGTTCTTCACAATGCATATCTTCCAAGTTCCATGCCAAGTAGACCTACTGGAAACCAATACCTCAGCGTCCCCCCCACCAAAAAAAACCTAGACATTTTGATGGTGGCCCATATTCAGTGAATCGTGACATCCGACAAAGCGACACACAAGCGCGTCATGGACAACATGGGGGACGCAACTCCGGCTGCGTCTTCTCTCCTTATAGCTCCCATGCTCCATCAGGGCCAAAAGCGTCAGCTCTGCGGGGTCCTTGACCTCAAGGCATCACCGCGGGCCGATCAGAGCCACCCAGTGGTCTGTGTCCCTGTTTGAAGGGGATGGATCCGGATCACTTGTGCTGGGAAAACACCCCCCAATTCAGTCATAATGAAGAGCAATCAGTATTAATGTTGACCCAGGATTCGCAAACCCGTCCCATTCTTGGGGGGGTGTTCCCTACAAGGGGACACCCCCCTATCAATCGACCAAGGGTTCATTTATCCGGGGTTGACATTAATATGGTCTACCCAAAATCATGCTGCACAGGGTTGTGGGGAATGACCACTTCTGTGATACAACAGAAAGGGCTTATCAAAGACTAACCCCCCATATAAAGGGGGAGATTCCCTTGTATCATAGAAGTGGGGAAAAACCCCTTGATCCCACAACCCTGAATGCTGCAAGAACTCAAAAGGCGGATATCCACACCCATGGCTGGGAGTGTCCCTTACTACCCTCCAATTACACTGGTTTCGATTGTGGCTCACGTGTTCATTCCAGTGACAAGCGAATTTCCGGTATATGGCAACCAGGGGGAACAACTTGTTCCCGCAGAACGTCACGTTCGCCCACAAATCAGCAGTCGCCGCACAGGGGTATGGTGGTTGGGGGGTTATGTGTCTTCCCTGAAGAACAAAGCCGAGCTGGCAGCCTGCGTTTTGCGGCGGGGGCGGGGGCGCGGGCAAACGTAGAGTTCAACTTGTTTAAACCAAAAGCAAAGTGGAGAAGGCTTGGCTACTATCGTTCCGACCGCCCACTGGGATCGGCAAGTTTTGGCGCTCACTGCCGCACACAAAACATGGCGGGTGGCCAACTGACACATGCAAAAAGGGCTCAGAATATTTGTTCTTATTTGCGGGTGTCTTTTTTGAGGGTTCCTCTTTTTGTGGTCTTCCGGGGAAACACAAGGAGAACCATCACTTGAAGGTGCCCCTAAAAAAAGACGCTCTTTGGTATATATGGGTGCCGCCATGACAGTGTGGCTGTGCTTTCCCCCCGACGCAAATCATAAATACCCACCGCATTCAGGTAATGCACCTAAACACGTTAAATTACTTTACTACACGAACCTCCGCCGCAAATAGCCAGAGCCTGCGATGTTGTATGAGGATTCTGTGGCCACCCTTGCTTTGGTCATGATCGACAACTAATTATCCTTGGCGATGACGATTTGTTCTGGGGAACCCACCAACAAGAGGCTCAGAGGATGCCACTGAATAACTGGACAACAGAACAAACAAAACTGACAAGGTGACAGGCTTTCTCAAATAATACATCCGAATCCATCTGCTTTACCAAAGGATCCTCCAAACTCCTGGTCAAGGTGACTTTGGTCAACTGGGCTCATATCTCGAGGAATTTGGACAAACCTGGGAAACCGCCTGCCCCACAGCGCCATCGCGCACATGCCCACAATCCCTGCGGTTCCTGGGCGCGCCGGCGCTTTCTCTCAGCCGCTTTTTGGGGCCTGGGAACGCGCTTCGTCGACGCTTGGCCCTCGACTTCTTCTGGGGGTCCGTTTGGGTGGGTTGGGGAAACTGAGGTCCCTTTTGGGTTTTCTGGGAAACTCAAAGGATTGGGTTAGGGGAAATTTGGGCTTTCTGGGCAACGATAAAAACAAGCCAACCCTTTGGGCTCCCCAAATTTGAGACACTCCGAATGGAACAAGTCGAGGGGGGACCCGCTGAAAGCTTTGGGATCTTTGTCCAGCTTTGGAGTGGGGTGGGTGCGGGCTGGGTTCCAGAAGGTCTCCGGAATCTGCTGTCAAAGATGGCGCTGCCGGTAAGAAGCGAGGGCAACCAAATATATATATTTGAAGCGGGTGTTTCTCCAAGTGCTTGGACCCCTAAATTGGTTGGTCTCCTTTTGGCTTCCCTTTGCCAACCAAACTCCCTCATGTGCCACAAATAAGTATGGGTCTATCTTTTGGGGGAACCCCTTTTGGTTGGTTCTAAAAGGATATCAAAAGGGGCCCATTTGCGACAAACAGCAGAAGTCAAGAGACTCAATGCCAAAAACAACTGGCTACTGCGTCGTTGCGGGGCGTGAAATATTGTGCGATCCTCTTCAAGCGCGAAGACGAGGTCCATTTCCGGGGTGGGAAAGTTGAGAGCCCGAGGGTTCCATGACCTTCCCTGGGCTTTTTTTTTTCGGGGAGCCTTAAGTCTAGGGGTACCTTCCAATTCCATTCTTTCCAGGGATCCTTTTTTTCAGGAAACCACCAAAAATCCGGGGGAAACAGCCGGTTTCTGAAAGGAACGATGGTTGACAAGAATAGGGAAGCAACCCCTAGATTAAGGATTTTTGTTGGACCACCCCAAGAAAGAAACTCCATCCCTGTAGACTACACAACCACCGCCCCGGTCTGGTCTCGCTG